AGCATGTATCTTTATCTGGTCTATTGGACATTCTGAGATAACCAATCAGAATCACTTCATTTTTTTTGAGGGGGCGTGAAGGGGAGGAGGAGCCTGGGGGACGGAGGGCGGGGGGGGTCATGTTCTATATGCACAGTAAGTAAGGACTGAAGTCAGTTGTGGGCTGGACAAGTCAAGTAGACAGTAAGGCTCCACGTCTGGCCACATTTGGTGTGATGGAGCGGAGAAAGACTCACTCACGCCAACCAGACGCTGCGCCACTCTCTTGGGGGGGGGGGGTAATCTGAGAGTGCATTTATGTGCCATGTAATGAGCCTTGGCTCAGTAATTAAAGTGTGATATGGGAACTTTTTCCAGGGAAATGTGACGCAGCGAAAGGAACTCCATCTCATTTCACCACCTAATAGTTTTTATCAACCAGATCTAAAAAAAAAAACCACATCCTGGTTATCACATCTGAGCTGACTTTTTGAATTTGAGAGAGCCCATATATCATGAGGCGGGAAAAAAAAAAACAAAATCAGCGCGTGCCTTTCGGACTGTTCTTATAGTGTGCGGTCGAAATTACTAACACAGCACACATAAAGATCTTCTCCAGCAACAATTGCAAGTCTCCTCCCCTAAACCACATTCTAAAAAAAAAAAAAAACATAACTTGTATTTTTTGGGCCCAAAACAGAAATTTTAGTTGGAAAACGTTGAAACTATAAATTACTGAATGACTGACATTTATGGCAACTATGTTAGTTAGCCCAGCAAAGCAAGCAATCTGTTTCTACTCATATCTTTAAGTTGAGGTTCGATAAAAGGGAAAATCGTTCTGTATACTCTCTCTTTTTTTTGGGGGGGGGGGGATTTCCAAATACAGGAAAGCTAATTCTCACAACAGCAAAGTTTAAAACACCGAGTTGAATTGCAAAAATGTCATTACATTTTTCTAAAACTATCAGAAATCGTTGCCAGTACGTTGGAGTGCTTTGCTACACCACTCCTGCCTCCAACCACACGAAAGAGGTTTTTGATACAGCTCTTGTGTTGCATGTCTGCATTTCAGGCAGTGAATTGGGTTGTGTAATTATTCTGTCAATCGCCTTTCAGCTCTGGAAAGCCATTTTGTCCTGGTTTCATTAAATCTCTCAAACAAAGGCCATTTGTCTATGAAAGGCGCCAATGTAGCTTTTGTCACTCCACTAATAACGTTGTTTAAAGTTGAGTGGTGACATTTTAGTTTTCGTTAAAAAAATAACCAATCACCGATCCAATCAGAAGATGGACCAAACTACCATGTCTATTTAAATAACATTTGTAGTGTTAGCAATGGTAGCTCAGACCATCACTGGAGTCAATTAGATTGTGTTTCCTGTAATGTCTTATTTTGCTGATTGATCGATGACGTCATTGATTGATCGACAAATTATGACATTACGACCAATCACAGATTGTGCATTAATTGCGAAATATCTGCCAAGCCGACGCAGTTGATGAGATGTCTGGAAAGTCTCCTTTCTAAATAATATCAGCCTGGTGAGTCTATTAAGCAGTTTCACAAGTGCAAACAAAAAAAAAAATCTTCACTCAAGACGTTTCCGCATGGCAGAATTTGCCTTAATTGGCGTTATTGAACTACTTGTCATTGCTTCAATTTAAATGACATTGTTGGGCAACATACGAATTTGCCTTCACGTTAATGTTTTTGTCTGCTTGACGTGCTTACGTTTTTTTCACTAAATCTCCCTATTCAAGCAAATTATTTGGGGGGGCCACTCGTGACTTTGACAATTTGCGTCTATTCTCCCCACCTGTGATGATCATGATGAGGGTTTCGAACTTTTTCACAACACGACGAGCCCTGGACGGATTCACATCCAAATTGAAGTCACCAGAGCGCCCCTCGGCGTTTATCCCCAGCAGCCTAATTATATCACCCCCCGCCACGGCCCCAAATCCAAACTGATTGTCCACTCACCGACCCTGAAGCCCTGTCCGATGAGCGTGTCCCCTCCATGGCCGTTCTCCGCTATGAGCGTGGTGTTGTTGCCCTGCTCGCAGCGGTCCTGGCACTGACCCTTCAGGCAAATCCGCTTGCAGATGAACGGCGCGATGACCACTTTGAAACGCTCACGCGTGGACAAGCGCTCCGTGCACCGCGCCAGCCTGTGGACGCTGAGCCACAGGAGAAGCACGCGGCAGATCAGCGAGGGCATCGTGGCATCCTCCGGTGCCCCCCTCACGCAGCCGGACACATGAAACCACCAGCCCGGCGGCGATCCGTTTTACTCGCCCGATTGACAACAATGAAGCTCCTTGTGGGCTTTCCCCCTCTCCTCCAGAAGGAACAAAATCAGTCCTCCGGCGTGCGTTGGTGATCCACCCGCAAAAGCGAACACTGTGGCATGGCTGAAAGTTCCCCCTTGAAAAAGTTCTCCCAGCTCTTCCTTCTTCGCCTGTTGCTTCCCGGGAGTGCGTGTGCGTGCGGCTCGGGGAGAAGGAGGGAAGAAAAGGGAGGAGAGGAGGAGGAAGAGAAGTGAGCCAGCCCTCCGTGCAGAAAGACTGGCAGCAGGCCAGGCAGGCGGTGTAGGGGTGAAGCCGAAAAGTGCTTTTCGAGTTGGATAGTCAGCGACTGCGTTTCTTTCCCACCTCGCGTGCAAGCCTTGAACGCACCACAGGCCGAGAGTCAAACTTCCATTCCAGATGCTGGAAATAGCAAATAATCACAATACTGCTTCTTCTACGTCGCACGTCTAACAATATCAATCCTTGCTTCGACGGTCATACGATCTCTTACAAGACTGACCGCGCAATTCATTACAGCAGTGATCAAATGTAATTCTGGATATGTATTTGCTTACTGAATACCAAATGTATACTGTACTAATACAGATTGCAAAATCTAATGCTGGATATCTATTTATTTGCTAAAGTACCAGTGTAGACTTATACTTTTACACTCTTGTATAAGCTATTTCTTGGAATTAATACATCATCCTGAACAAAATGTGTAAACGACTAAAGTCTCAGGCATATATTTTGTATTCGTGTCATCTTCATATTTAAAACTCAGTGCCAAGTTATAAGCAATCCAAGTATAAACAAGACATGTTGTCCCACCATCTCGTAAGTAGGCGGGTTCGCCAAATGGGGTAAGACGCTCGAAACCGAAAATGGAAATCCAAGTTTAGAACCTATAACAAGCGTACCAGCAAACAATATAATCATCAGCCATTCACCGTAAAAAGAATAGACTCATTCGAGTCGGTTACCCCAATGACGTACACCGTCAGTCGCCAGCCCCCCCGCGCCCCACTTTAAATGACTACAATCACGACTTTCATGCCTGGGAAAAGTCAAGTGTGTCTGGTATGGACGTGCACCGCGGTCCCAAAGGGAGGAAGGCGCTATTTGGGTTCATGTGGTCAACAAGGGAAAGTGAGAGAGACACAATGAGCAAGAGAGAGAGAGAGGAGGCGAGTGAGAGAGAGAAAGAAAAAGAGAGAAAGTGAGTCACTTCCTCTTCTCCCCCCCCCCCCCCCAAAAAAAAAGTGTTTACTTTGCAGTCACTGAGGAAATGATTCCATGGAGTTCACAGGCTACTCTGACATCTCTCTTTGTCGTCATTAACTGCCCACACAAAAAATAAATAGCCTACCTACAACGTACACACAATGCATACTAAAAATCAAAATATTGTGTAGCAAAGGAAAAAAAAATTAAAAAAAAGCAAGGAGACTATTAGGCTGAAATAGCTTTGGTCACCGTTTGTTAAATGAAGTTTGCATTTTTTTTCCCGTATTGTTAGCATAACATGAGAATAGTCCAGTGACCTTGATTCAATTTTTTCAGATTATGACCGGGAGGGCTGACACAGAATCCAAAACACAAATGAGAAATGAGCAAGCACATTGGTATTACTTATTGATATTGTGACAGTATGTTAAAAAAAACAGTTTGGGTCATTACGCTATGAGGCAAGTCCTTTTCAAATTGTGGCGATGTAAACCCCATTTAAAATGTTGTTAGTTTTTTTTTTTTTGAAGAGGCATGCTTCTCGCTGGCATTATGCGAATTTGCTAGAAATTGCAGTTTTTAGTATTTTGTGGAAATACATCACGAATGAACCAACTGACATTACAGTACTTGCTGATTCGCTCCGGTAAGTAGATTGCTGCATTCCATTCAGCCATCGAGGCTGTGCTGAGCGACGCAAACCTCGTATGAAAACCTTCAACGTGCAAGGACTCCCATTAAAAATTGAATTTACAATGCATAAACGGTGGCACGTTTTTCGTGTTAAGCCTTCAATCACACCAAAGCAACACATCAACAGTTTGCGTGCGTTTGCGACCACAGCTGTCATTACTTATGTGTTATTTGGGTTGTGTGCGCGGGTGTGGCCAGAGACCGCCACCCTCTGTCTGGCGGCAGCACAGTCGTGATGCAATGAGATCATGCGAATAGTTCAACGAGGACCGCTTTGATATCATCTCGCCGAACAAAGCTGGACCGTAATGTTTTGTTTATTGGCTGGCTGGTTCGGAAAAGGGGCAGAAAAACAAACTTAGGTTTCAATGGAGGTAGAAGCAACAGGTTAAAACTTGAAGCTGGTCCACAGTATTGCCGGGGGTGAGGAGGGGGGGCTCTCAGCTCAGGTCACTGTTGATTTCGCAATCAGGGCAAGTGGGACAGTACAACATCCCAACCAGCAGAGGGCAGTGTGAAAGAAAAACAAAAGCTTGATCCGTTTAAAGTTACGCTTTTCACAAAAAGTGAAACGTTCTCGGGTGAAATTCGCGATGATACGTTTCAACTGCAAAATGAACACGTGTAAATAAAAGTATCTAATTGTTTTAAAACAACCTGCTTAGTGTGTGTACCTCTCAGGTCTCAGTTTGCTTCCCCTGCTGTATGAGACTGCGGGCTCGCTCTGCAGCAACTTGTCAAGGAAATTAAAGGCACGTTTTCTCGCCACCGACAAACCTTGACAAAGAACAAGATGAAAACCATGAAAAAGATTGACCGATTCCATTGTTTGTCCAATAAAGTTGAAATATAAACAAGGCCCTTTAGTACAGTGTGACATTTATGGTGCGAGGGTACATGACAGTTTGAACACAGAAGCATAGAAAATTCATTGCACGTTGAACAGGGACTTCCTGTTTTCATCTTCAGGTTACATGCAAAGGCCTCCGTTAATGTCGTTCGAGGGGGAAAAAAAAAACAAACCTACAGCATTATCGAGGCAAAGCTACCTTGGCAAACCACACTGTGCGTATACAACGACAAACATTTCACATTTGGAGCGTCTTTCATGAAGATAAGATTAATACAATGCTTTATAGTTTAGCTTGTTATATAGTACAGCAAAAGGGCAAGGAGATGTACAGTATTGCGATATTTTTTGGGGCTGTTTGTTTGAAGGTTGAAGAGATTATATGGGAGACGACTGGGAGAAACATCCGTTTTAAATATGAACAAAAAAACGCTTTACTGCACATCAACAAGAACGATCAATAGATACAACAGTTACATTTCCAGCCATATTTACAAAAAGTGCATCAGATAGGCTGGCCAATGTGTCATTTTTCCTTTTTCATATTTGCTCACAGCGGATTATTGTCTAGATTAAGGCATATGTTTGTATTTTGTGTGCCTAATATTGTGGCTGGTGTCAGTAAGATAAGTAATGATCAACAAATAATGCCTCAAGTACCCTGTTAGCTTTACAGTCTTAACATTTTTAAAATCACTTCATATTCGTGACCAGAGTTGTTGGAGTCACAAGAATATAAGAATGACTCTTCTTAAAATGGTTGCCAGTCAAATCTAATTCCAGAATTTCATAAACACGTGCAGCTGATGACCAGAGTCCTGCCACGTGAGAATTACATTCAGTGGCAGCACTGACGGATCATTTTTAAATCAAGCAAGGCACTTTCAAATTTATTTATTATTTTTTTAAACGTTGGTCAATATCCGCTTGAGGTTTTGTCACATAGCAGATCAAGTCAATACTGTGTGCTCCGAGTGGTGCTGGATGAACTTCATGCTAACTATTAACAACACAGAGGAATATAAAATTGGAAAGTGCCAGGGGAAAAAAAAAAAAAAAACAGGTTCACACACACTCAAGTTTGAAAATGTTTGCATTTTCTGTCTTTTCACGATGGAGGCTCGAGCTCATCCGTGGCCCTAATGAGGACAAGTGCAATAGAAAAACGAACGGATTGATTTTTATTATTGACTGTAGCTCCACAATCAGCTGCCAATAATTCCCCTTTTCCTCACTTCACTATTGTTCAAAGTCAAATCATCACATCAAAAGTGTCATGGAAGGAAAAGGTTTCGCCATGTTGGTTGACTCGGCATGTAAATACATTTTATTCTGTTGCAATTGAGATGAGCTAAGATTTATTTATTTTTTGTCTTTCAAAACACCCGTGGTGCCAAACGGAATCTTCAGAGCTTCCAGATTCTTTGTCCATTGTTCAATTTAGACCCATGTTTTCGGAGTAATTAGGTCTCTACACACAGTCGACAACCGCATTCTCCTCCTCTTCCGCCCCCCACTCCTCAAACCTCATCTGGGGGGACGGCGCCGCCGGGTGAAGGTTGTTCATGTCATCGATGGCGTCGGCGGTGGAAGCGATGGCCACGTGGCCGCCCTCCTCGCGGTGCGTCCGGATGTGCTTGCGCAGCGCGGCGGGCTCCTTGAAGCTTCGGTTGCAGAAGGGGCAGCAGCACGGCCTCTCCCCCGTGTGGATGAGCTGGTGGTGCTTGAGGTGCTGCAGGCGGCTCAGGCGCTTGCCGCAGATTGCGCACACGTACGGCTTCTCTCCGGTGTGCGTGCGCCGGTGTTTGCGCAGGCCGTCTAAGTGCCGGAAGCAGTTGCCGCATTCGGAGCACGAGTACGGCTTCTCCCCGGTGTGGATCCGCAGGTGAGTCTTGAGGGCGCCCGACTCGCGGAAACAGCGGCCGCAGACGCTGCAAGGGTACGGCTTCTCTCCCGTGTGGATGCGGATGTGCTTCTTCAAGCTGGAAATCAAACGGAATGTCTTTCCACACTCCAAGCAGTGGTGAGGGCGATCTCCGGAAGGCTCGACGGCCGCGTCGGAGCCCGAAGGTCCCGCTGACTCGTGCGCTCTACCCGGTGAAACACCGTGACCTCGTTCGGGTCCCGAAGTCCTCGCCAGTGGCTTTTGCCCGTCCGTCATTCGCTGCTGCGGGGCGCTGCTGCATTCTCGAACAGGCCTTTGGTGGCGCAGAGTTTGGGTGAAGGTACGCTGGGAATCTCCCCCATCCCCAACTTGAACATAGCCCATGGTGTGCGACGACTGCTCGCCAACACCAACTGTGTCCTTCCTGTTGCTTTGACTGGAGCTCGGCGCTTGTCCCTGCTCCACTTTGATCTCAAAGCTGCCCGCTTCGCCTGGTCCCTGAGACGGCCTCGCCTCTGAACCACAAAGACCACGAAATATTTTAGTCTGAAATGTAATGTATGGGGACGCGTGACGAGGGCTGCCTCTGTCAAATATATTTTGAAGCAGGTATTCTACCAATTATCCCATCAATCGCAGTCATCGGCAACTCATGTAGGAATGCTAGAAAAGCTGTACCTGGTCTGTTGGCGTCAGCGCACATGTGAGATGTGTCTGCCGCAAAGGAGTCCAGAGCGTGGTTGGTCACAGACCCATCAGGTTGAATAGACAGCTGGCACATCTTGTAGTCATCTCTTGGCTCAAACCCATGAAGCGAGTTATCCACGGAACCACCGAGACCCAAGTCGACGCCGGCTCCACCGTTTCGAGAGTTTTGATGGTCCCGGTTCACGTCTGCCGGCATGGAGGACAGAGATGAAGCGAAAACCGACTGACCGATGTTATGAGGGCCGCTGTATGAGATCTGAAGCTGGTCTATGAGCTTCTGAGCACTGCACAGACAATCCTGCATCGTCTTCAGCTCCCTCTCCGATACCTCCAGGCGCACTTTGAGCCTCTCGTTTTCTTGTTCCTTGTGCAGCAACTCTTGATGAGTCTCGTTGAGCACAAGCGCCACTTCGCCCAGGAGAGTATCAACTGCAGCCGACATGGCAGATTGAATGGTCGGTGCAAGGCGGGATTTCAGCGATGTTACACTCACGCTGCCGTATACAACCTTGTCTGGTTTGCGATCGTAGCAGGATTCCACCACAGGCCTGTCAGGAATGTTGTTGATACTCGCTTTGCGGTTGCCACTATTTGACGAAGGAGAATCCTCGCTGCTCGTATAACCTGCCCGCCTGGAAGCCATAGCTTTACTTGGGTTAGCGTAGCCTAAAATACACAGCCAACGTCGTGTTAATAAGCAAAACGGACAACTAACAGATATGCTCGAAGGATAGTAAGAGTCAGGTGTCACCTCTTAGTTTGACGTCACTGACCAAAACAATGCAGACCACTCGGAGATTAAACGGGGCCCAAATCCGCGTGCTAGCATTAGCCTGAAAACTATAACTATGGTGCAAATATGTATTCTTGAGAACACGGTTACGGACGTTTATATGTAGGAATAAAGTTCAACTGCGTTATTGACTAAGATAAACACATTTCTCCCTGTGCCGATCCCTTCTTTCGCAACCTCTAATTACGGAAGTGCATTTTGTCCGTCGCAATGAGATGGCGTCACAACGTGTAATGCGCTCTGATTGGACTAAAGCGCGCAACATGTCAAACGCTGCAGCAAAATATTTTATGGGCAACCAAAGGTGCCAAAATGACATGAACAAAATTTCAGTTACATACATAATCAATAGTGTCATAACCAATGCACAGAGCAACACGAAGACCAAATAATATTGACCTCAGCATGTTGCTGAATTGACAGAAATACAGCGTCAACAAAAGGTGTTGTTCCTACGTAAATACGACAGAGGACGCTGTAGACCGCTCCGGAGTCCGAACATATTCGGAACGTTCATTTATGAGTACAACAATAAAAGTACAGTAGAATCACATTTCTGTAACATTATGCACAGTTTGAACACCCACTCTGCGCTTAACTATAAATGAAATGAAAATTATAGTTCAATGAAAATGTATTAGACATGAAAGGTAACTACAAATTGTCCATTAATGTTTTGAAACAATAAAACCGAATTCCACTTCATAAACTGTTGTCCTGTTTAGGGTCACAGGGTTTCTGGAGCCTACCTTGGCAGCTGATTTCAGTCAGAGTGTATCCCGGACGAGTTGGCATTCAAATGGAGGGCACAGATCGACAAACAACCATTCACACATTCCGACCAATGGGATTTTGTGTCCTCAGTGAACCTAATGTACGTGTTTTTAGAATGTGGGAAGAAACTGCACCTGGATAACACGCATGCAAGCTTGGGAAGAATATGGAAACAACACACAAATAGGCCCGTGCTAGGATTTGAACCCAGAAACTTTAGACCACAATGTTGACAGGCTCACCAAGCGAATTTACACTGTTCTTTTCTTACGGTCTATGAAAATACGACAGTCGTCACTTGTTGATTCTGTTTTAAGGGAAAATGCAGGACCATCCCACCCATCCACAGAGGTTGGGCAAAAAGTGACTTGGTTATTGCACGCATTTGGCTCCAAGACCCCACTAACAAGTACCATCTGCTCGAATTTCATCGCAGTTTGTTTTTTTTTGTCCGATCCAGACATACATCCCCCGGCAAGCTATCGCGTTGATATCCAACTCAAATGTGAACAGCAGAAACAAAGGGGTGCTCCAATACTTTTGGAGGGGTGTGCATACGAGCCCAGATCAGATCATTGCCAGAAAATTCTGTGGTACTTGACAGATGTGTTTTACTGGTCCCACGGAGGGGAAAATGAGGACAGTCCAATGAATCATTTTGAGTTTCGATGTTACATAGATGGAATTCTTGAGGTGTGTGTTCTATCGATTTGTTTAGAAATACCAAGTTTGCGCTTCGAGTGAGTGGCGTTGACGTCCCCGAATTTCCCAACTTCCCTTCTTTGACTCCCTTTCCAGCCGGCCAGTGTGAATAAGAAAAGAGGCACATGTGATGTGCGTAGCTGTGCATCATCCAAGTCTGATCTGGTTTATTTCCTGTCTTTAGTGAGCAGATGTCCCTCAGCCACATTCCGTTTATGTTTGCACGTTGTTCGGGACCTTTCATGCAAAGTCATGCATTTTATTTAGCTGAGAAGTCTAACGAGGCGTGAGCGGCAGTCTGGAGGCACTTAGTAATCGTTGGTGGATAAATCATCGCAGGCGTTTTTGTCATTTCCAGCCTCCCTTTCAGAGCGACGTGAGCTCATTAACAAGCGAGACATTTTCTGTTTTGTTTTTTTAAACGTGAACAGTGCAAAGGAAAGGAACAGTGCTGAATTGTTTTTGCTGGCCCGAGCAGAAAAGTCTACACACCCCTGTCCAAATGCAATTTTTTTTGGGTGATATAAACAATGAGAACATGAGGAATCATTTCAGAACAATTACATTGTAAAGGTTATAGCTCATCATAAGAGGGGGAAGTCCAAATAATGCGGTTGCAGAAGTGTGCACACCCTCTCCTAACTAGGGATGTGGTTGTGTTCAGAATCAACCAATCGCATTTCAACTCACGTTGAATCAGAGTCAGAACATAGGTGCTGCTATTTAAAGTGTCTCTGCTTACCCCCCGCCCCACCCAAAAAAAAAAATTCAGCTGTTCTAGTAGGCTTTTTCTGATGTTTTCTTTCTCGCATGAGCTTAAAGGTTTTGGGCCAACAGGGCCTGCTCTTTCAAACTGCTCTCAAATTCCTTTTGGGGATAACGCGTGAATGGCTGGCATACTTTTTTGGAAATACGGCCTAAAAGTTCAACCTTGGGTTCAGTGGACTATAAGACATTTTTACGAAGCTGATTTCCCCGACAACAAGGGTGTGTTGACTTTTTGCATCCACTGCGAGTGATAGTAAACATTTCTAAAAGCATGCAGACTCATTTCAGAGGGAGGTGGAGCGGGTGCATGAAGGGTCCAAAGAGTGGAGGGGCGGGGGGGGGGGGGGGGGGGGAGGTTGCAGTCATTCGGGAGAGGAGCAGGAGAAATAATACATAAAGGAGAAGCAGGCAAGTGAGGAAGCAAGTGGAGGACACAACAGCGGCGCGAGGAGCTTCCGAAAGCACTTCAACCACAGCAAGCAACAAGTAAGTTATAATCCCCCCACCTCGCAACATTTTACAAATTTTCATTCTTTGTCGAAAAGTACACATCGGGCAGATAATTTCAATACATTTCCTGCGCAATCAAACACCAGTATTTGTTTTGATTCATTGTGAAAATTCCGCACGGAGAGCTTTCCTGTAAGTGGATCCAGCTGACTGGGCTGCACTGTGTCCCGCATGGGTGTGTGTGCGTGTGTGTGTGTGTGTGTAGGCATTCACCGAAGCTCTCTTGTGCAACACGGTCTGGAATGTTAAATTCGTGCGAGTCGCCTGCGACACCTAAACATGTGAGGACTAATCCTTGCAGATACAAATACACGATTAGATGTTTTCGCCGTCCTCGCTTGGGTTTTGGTCCAGCTACCTTCAAGATGCCTCTTAGGATAAACCGTCATCCCTGAACTGTCTGGAAGTGTAAATGGAAGTCTTGATGTAGCCTGTAATTGGCGAGCAACAAGTCAAGAGTGTACTCCGCCTCGCATCGTAAAGTCATCTAGGATGGGCTCCTTCTGGAGTGGAACATAATCGACCGTTCTTGTCACATCCTAATTTGTTTTTTTCCCACTTGTTTTTGATGCTTTCCCACATCCTTCTTTTCCCTGATGTAAGTTGACAAGCAAGGCGGGTGGAATTATCATCCATTACTGTTAGACAGAGTTGGCAAGTGTACTGACACTCTGTACTGAAGTACAGATCGGCTCTGTGCGTTTATTGAAAAAAAACATGGTAGAAGTGCTGATTCAAGTCCTGTACTTTGATAAAAAATACACAAGAAAAAAAATACATATTTTCACCGCCACTTATACACAACAGCCGTTTTGACCGCTCGGTGCAAAGAAAAAATATTTTCCCTCCTTTTATCAACTTAAAATTCACATAGCAGGGGCCCATCCTATCAAACAAAACACTGAAAAAAAATCCACCCATGAGGGGGGGAATGGCAATGTCCCGATCGGGTCCAAGATGTGACTATATACAAGAACTTATTGATCCTGATGGTCTGTTCTTTGTCGCGTCTCCAGGCCGTGTGATGGCTGCCACCAGACATGTTCCCTTGATGGTCATTTGCCTGCTTCTCTTCAGCGGTTCCACATCCCAGCCGACAACAAAACGAGCGCCAGGGGTCAATCGGACACGACCCGAGGCCATCGTGCTCCCCTCGGATGACTATTACGACAATGAGGATGAAGTCGCGACGGTTCCAACTAAGACCATATCGTCAAACGGAGGAACCTCGAAGAGATGCGACTACAACCCCTGCGAGGAAGACCAGCCGACTTGTTTTGAGCTCTCGGTCATCAATGACTGCTTGTGTCCGGGATCGACGTCTCACCTTGTGGCACCGCAGCCTCCCGTCCTGAAAACGGTGACCTGGAACGGTTCCGACGTGGTCCTGCGCTGGTGTGCCCCTCACTCCTTTGTGAAAGGCTACAGGGTGACGGTCGGCGGGTCGGAGAGGCAAAGGTTCGGGAAGGAGAGACGCAGCGGCGGCGCGGGGCTCGTCGAGAGCGTCTCCGAGGTTTGCGTGGCGGCACTGAATGACGCCGGGGAGAGCGAAGGCTCGTGTATGATGTACCGGCCCAAGGAGCGCAGTGTGGCTCTGAAAGCGGGGCTCATCGGAGGCGCTCTGGGTCTCTTGCTGCTCGTCTTGCTGGCTGTCCTGCTGTGGAGGCGTCGGCAGCAGAGGAAGCGGCAGAACGGCATCCCGATGGGAGGCGCTGCCCAAACTTAAAATGACAACGCACACGTTCTCATGAGACACCTCATCTTTTGAGGCAACACTCGGGTGACACTTTTTTTTTGTTTGTTTGTACAGCAGATACAGCAACGAAAGCACACTTTTTTTGTGGGGAGGGGGAGTGGGGGTCACATAAGTAGAATCTTGACCGGTATCAAACACTGTAATATTGCCCCTATAAAACAGTGGCGGAGCTCAGAGAACATAGATAATTTTTTTTTTTTATAGGTCGTTTCCGGAGAATGGGTGGGGAAAAGTAGACAAAAAATTTCCGGGGGAAAAAAATCTGAAAGTACCCAAAAGTCAATGATCTGGCCTGGCACCGAGTGGTCCAAGCATATTTCAGGGTGAGGGGGGCTATTGCCCCCGCGGGCCCCCCCCCCCCCTAGCTCTGCCAGTAATCCAAAATAGTTTAGTATCAATCAAAAATCAACCAAAAATTGTCACATGCTATTTAATTTTTTTATCTTTTACAAAGTTGCTTCACCCAGTTAGATTTTTGTGCAAATCTATTGTTCATTACTCACAAAATTGATAAAATGCATAAACATGTATGTAACTATTATAGATTATTTAGACTTTATACATTCACACAAACATTCATACAACGTATTACTGCTTTTTTTTTGTTTGTTTGTTTGTTTAATTAATCTACAAATGAGTACCGGTACTCAAGCTAAATCCTAGAGTTTTTTTTTTTTTTAAATACAGTGCAAATAGTTGAGAGTCCATTCACAATGTGTGGGAGTGAAGTATAGGTGGTTCATTCTTCTGCCAAGTTTTACAGGAAAATAAATCCCCGGTGACACAGTTTATAGATAAGCAGGATTTTTTTTTTCTTGAAACAATTAGTGCTGCATGTTTCGGTTTGTAGAGTTTGGACACGGCGACACCACGAGCGATCTAAATGCCGGACGGGAAACATTCCAAAAAGACACAGCAGGGTTGTTTGTCAACCCATCTGTACGGTATTATTGCTGTTGTTATTTGGGGTAAAATGCACGGAAAAAAAGGTCACGATAATATTTAAGACTAAGACCCATAACTGACATGTTTGAGGTATCAAGAATGAAGTCTTAATGCCGCAAAAATTGCGGTGGCATTGATTTTGATGCTTTAGCTCTCTGTGAGAGGCGCTTGGTTTTGTTGTCGTTTGTGAACGTTTATTTTTTTGTTTTGTTTTAATTGAACACAGACAGAGCAAGGTTTGATCCTGATCATCGTACTGTAAATGTTTATGAATAGTTCTGACTATTAAACACGATTCCGGTCCAACTGTGTCTGTGCCGTTACTTAAAAGACTTTATCATTGCCTGTCCAGCGCCATCTGTCATATTGTCGGATGTTGGGGCTCAAGTGTTCACCGTTGTTTTTGCAGCTGTAGTTAAGAAAAAGAAAAAAATCTCCAGTGGGTATAGGTTTCATCAGGCTTGTTTCGTTGCAACTGAGATTTCACAGTCTTCCATCGCTTGGCTGGTATGAAGTCATGATAAGAAAGAATGTCCAGTATTTCAAAGTTTCCACTTCATCTTGTCAACGAACTTTCATCTCACAACTGAGTTTCATTTTGGGAAGGTGGCTCAGGCAATCTTTTTTTTTTTTCCCGCACAGAAAGGCCGCAGCCGAAATTGGAACCTATCGACTGTGGTGTAAGAAGACAACTCAATTGACTTATTCACTGTCAGCCCAAGTCACAACAATAGAGTAGACCTTCGATTTCTGTAACTGTCAAAGGCAGTGAATGAGTACACCGAAATGAACTTGTCTGGCTGTGGCCAGCTGTTCCAATACTTTTATATCCATGCCGCGTACCTCTCAGATAGCCCATTCAGATTTTGAATGTCGAAATGAGTCACAAGGTACAGAATGTGTTTACTGTTTCGATTAGATGTGACGCAGCGCGTTTTTGTTCCTTGTGAACTCCTTGTCATTTTCAGCATCTTTTAAAGCGGGTGACGAAGCAGATGACAGCCGCTGACTCTTTCCCCGAGCGCGGACACATTTGGCAACAATGGTCTGCATCTGACGAGTGTCACCTACTAGGAGTCACGGTGAGTCACCCATTCATCAGAAAGGTGAGTCGGGGTAGACAGTCGTAGACAAAAATCGTTAAAAGATAGCCTCACAAAAAGCTACTTTGTGTTTGCGCGTACGTGTCACCGAGTTCCTGGGTTTATGAGCGATTTGGTGACTCACGGTGACGCGAGTGGCTTTGTAATCATGTGCTTGTGATGTGTGGACTAATGCGTCGCAGTTGTTCCATTTTTGATGGTTGCAATCGTGGTTCCGTGAACCCAAATGCTCTCCGTTAGGAACGTGCAGTGAGGAGGGAGCATGTTTTTGTCTCGGGCGCCGGCGAGTGGAAGATCTTTGCTGCCCTCTGCTGGTCACATTATTAAACACATCCATTTTCACTCCAAATGTGGCCAGGGTATTAAAAATTGGAAGACTCGAGTGCAAATAGGTACCGGGAGTCATCGCAACGTACACATCCAATTCTAATTCAAAACTAAAACGACTAATGACTTGGATTTGGTCATTAAGGATGATGCATAAAAGATGAAGAGAGGTCTGCGCTATCGCCGTACTTGATCGTTATACATTCCGTCTGATCTTAACATTCACACAGTACACATCTTGCAAAATTGAGCTTTTAAAATGACTTTGGTGTCCTTGTCAGAATCACTTAGTCCAACATGAGAATGGAGCAGAATAACGAAACTCTTTGAGATGTTCGGATAAGCGGCCAAACATTTGCACGGATAAAACTACAATGATACGACTTTTAAAATGTTTCCTTCATTTCATCATCCATCTTTTTTTCCCCCTCATTGTGATTTGGGCATGTCCCCCACGCTACTCCAAAAGTGACTGAATGACATAAAACCAAAAATACATCATGTCATTGTCCACATTTTAGGTTTGATAAAACAAATCACGCGTGTGTACTCTTATTTTTACGCTATTGAACATTTTGCATCTGTCCCTGAAACTGCTGTCCACCCTGTCATGATAGGGTGAAAAAATATGCTGGGGAATCTGAAATTTGAGATATTTTTGTAAACGGTAAAAGGTGAACTTGCTACCTGGATCATGTTGCCAAGTAAAGGTCTACTGTGGTATCATAAAATGCTAACATTAGATAAAAATGTCCACCCTGTCAGCGAACACATAATTTTTCAGTTAATTGATAAATAATCAATCAATAAAATGGGTGAAATGGGAGAAGTCTCAAAGGCACCTTGCGGCCATACAGTATACTTTCGTATCCGCCATCGTTAGCATAAGCGCAAGCTAATAGCTCATTATTTGTCAAGTCGAAGAGTCACGCTTATTGTAAGGTGGAACTCACCAGTCCGTAATCATCGGCCAATTCATACGCAGTATTTCATTTGCGTTTTACCCAGAGAAAATATGAACGACTACAGAAGTAGTTAGTTCTTTACTCAGCTTTCAACGGGCATAAACAACGTTTCCAAGTAGGTCAGCATCCATCGGGGTCTTTTGTTGCAATGAGGTCACCCTGTCATCTGTAGAGCACGTTACCGGTTCAGAGAGTTGAAACGGGGTGAAGGAGGAAATGAATGGACTTGATCCCCGAGGATGTTTTCGCTCACACCGTGACGGTGGAACATGAAAAAGCTTCACTTCTGACAATATGCCGAGTGATTTATGCGGAGGGGTTTGCGTTAAGTGTCAGCTTGTTACGAGCGCACGCGCGGGCCCGTTGGCGCGTGTCCTATTTGAAGCGTGCGCACACCTTTTATATCCGCTTCAATGGCAATCAAAGCGCCGTCCCGCTCTCATTAAGATCACTAGGGGTCGTTATTGTTGAGCTAGCTCCCAAGCACCTTAGGCATTAGCTCGGCGGTAATGAAGTGGGAATGGAAATGAGTTGATCTAATGGGAATGGATATGACTTTGCGCTACTATTTAGTTTTTTTTTTGGGGGGGGCGGGGGGGGGGTCGACATGTAAATTGTTCATTTCACCCTCATCGACGACCTGGCAGGCAAGCAGGACAGCAGGAGTGCGCCTTTTTTTATTTAATGCACAGAGGAATTCAGGTAACCATGGCAACCCGCCACCGTACAAGGGGACATATAGGCCAAAGCCCGAGTTATCCATCAAGACCGCCAAAAGACGCAAACAATCGGACGTGACCTCGACGGGCTGGCGATGAATCCACCAGGCACACAATAAATGATATCCACATTTGACTGACAGATACGTACGATGACACGCCATTTGGTGGGACAATCGCAGCGAACGTTATGAGGGCCGTGGAGGGGCATCAGCCCGCGATTGATTTGTGGCACGGCGTCAAAGCAGAGGTCACTAAAAGCTGCTCTCTTTCGCTTTTCTTCATCTAGTATAGTGCTGTAAGATATCAATCATTTATTCAATGCAGGATCATCATCACCACCATAATAATAAATACAATTCATTTTCTCGAAGCTCAAATATGCTTCCTAGTGGCTGCGAGCACTGTCGGCAACACCAGCAGACGACATCATGACACTGCCAATTCATTTGCTTTTCTGTCCATGATCACCCCTTTGATTGACATCAATTGAATTTCGCCGCAGTGACTAAAATTAATATGATCAAAGATATTAATTGTTGGGGTGGTGAATGAGTTGCCCTTTTTGTTCCCGATTTACGCCTCATCCTTTTAGCATCGCTTGCTAAAAAAGCATTTGCTGCGATTCGGCTCGATAGAAAATGAGATGACATTGGCGCTCATTCGCGTGATAAAAAAGTGATTAGAGATGCAATACACCTCGTGCGGTTTGCCGAAGGACTTCAGCAGGTGCTGCCGTTTGGGTCTTTAACCGGGCAGTAAACCTGCAGGGACATGAAGCCAGAGCCGTATTTAACCTTGCGAGATCCCCGAGCGGAGCAGCTGTTCTCACTGAGCCCAATTTCAGCGCCTCAAAGGGGGGGGAAAGCGCACTCTCCCAAGTCTGCAAATGACTCCTTACTTGACTGACAGTTATGTCAGGAGGCATCAAATTTGAGGAAAAAGACCGCAGGGCCATCGAAGCGGAACGAATCGTGATGGCGTCAGAAAGCAAACATCGCTGCAATAGCGCAGCAATAACCCGCCATAAACATGAGCTCCGCCGGTGTGTGATCGCATTCTTCTGCATCGACGCGTGAAAAGGATTATCCGTACAAAGTCAATGAAGAGACGCTCCGGTTTGGAAGTGCGACGCAAGGAAGCGAGCCACGTGCCGAAAATCAAATCTAGGCCCTGTGACATGGCCAGATGTTGGTAGAAAAACAAATCCCAATTACCGCTACCTCCCCTGGCGTCACCGCACGCACGCACGGCACGTTGCAATCCAGCTGGTGATGAATCGGGGCCGGATTATTCGCTCCGCATTCACAGGGGACCGAAAGCCAGCGCGAAGCACAAAAACTTGACCGATGAATATATCATGAAAGAGGATGAATCAAGACATGTAAACCTTTCCGAAGCTTGTGGGCTTTTAAGAATGGGGAGGCGGCTTTTGATTCGGCGCATAAAAGAAACAAACGCCAGAGCGCAACGCGAGTAACGTCGGGAGACGTTGGCCATCTGCCATCCGCCCGGGATCGATAGCCATTAACGCCGTTTGCGCGCGCAAGTCGGAAGACGGCGAGGATCTGCATCTCTGCGGAGCGTTTCATCATGATGGGGGAGGCGCGGAGCTTTAGTTACAGTAAAAGCCACCGCCACCGCCCCCCCCCCCATCCCCACTTCCGCACTTATCACAGCTGCTGCTGAGATATGCCTCCTGACTGACAATGTCATCAGGGAGCCTGGATGTAAACACACACACACACAGCAGAGGTCGGACAATCTGGGTCACTTGCTGGCTGCATGAGAGGAGCCACTTCGAGCCTGATGTGCGCCGAGGATGTCGGGACACCCACGTAGCTCGTCACTTGGGAAAAGGGGCCACCGGTGGTGATGAAATCCAGCAAGAAGCGCAGGTAGCAAAGATGATGAAAAGGAGATGTGGCGAGGGAGGACGTTTTCTTTCGGGGGGGGAGGGAGGCCCTAGTTCTCTTTGATTTCTCACTCGAGTCCGCATTGTTCATTAAAAGCCCGGCGCCATCATGCAATATTGACACTAGCTTGCACAAACTTCGGGATTTGGAGGAACTCTACAGACTGCGACGACGCCGTTCCAAATCTGGCGCTTGAAAATGAAGAGTTTTTTTTCTGTGAAAGTGCCCACGCATTCCCGCCAAGATTACGACGGCAAGACGGGGGCCGCGCAGCTCAGACGACACGGCAGCGCGAGAGGCGAGATGCTACACAACGTTTTCATTCTGCAGCCCTCCGGGTGTGATGTCACGGGGTCAGCAGTGCGAAGGTGTCGGTCGGCATCGTCGCTTCCATGCCGAGATGTTTCTCGTGTTTTATTTTACTTTCTCGTCTCGGTTTACTCACAAATTTACTTTGGTCAGCGCGAAATCCCATCCTGCTTGTTTGAACGCAAAGCTGACATGGTTTCAGGAAGACGTTAAGTGATTATGGCAACATTTGAACCTTCTGCCATTTAATGGAAGAGGATTCAATTGTTCTGCTAGTCATTATACAGCACTGGCACAGATAGAAGAACCAAGATACATTATTCGGAGTAAAGAAATAATTTGTTGTTCAGGCAAAGTGGTTGGGAATCACCTCCATGAAGGAGAGACATGATTACCTGTCTGATGGTGCGGATCGAGGTTGCTAATTTCCAGTGCGGGCCACATCGCCGTTACGATACTCCTCAGAGGGCCGTCGACTGTGAAAACAAAATCAAAGTATCGTCACCATCATCATATCGCACACAAGCGTCCCGGCAACTGATAAACGATTTAGCAAATGTAGTCCCCGTTACAAGTCAAGAAAAAAAATCGTTACCCATTTTCTGCCCAAAAGAAAAGAAGAAACTTCTTATGAGACAAAGTAGACACAGTACAGTATTTGTTTTAGTGGGCTACAAAGTGGTGCGGCGGGCCAAATCTGTCCCCCGGGCCTGGATTTTGACACCCGCGGTTGAATCCGGTGCAGTTAATATTGTGCAAAACTATTCTGAGCACAATCGGCCCCAAATGAAGGCGACTCGGAGGCAGGATCGTAATGTGCTGTAATGAGAGTTTAATGAGGATATAACGGCGTGGACCAAACTCACCTGATGATGACACAAACCTTTTGTTCTTGGTAACAGCATGAAGCGCTCGTCTCGGACACCATATGTTGCCGTTCTGGATTTAATCGACCGGGAGCAGGTGGGCAGACTGGGCGACGCTTCCGTCTGTCAAGGTGCCAGCGGAGAAAGAGCGAGAGAGACAGTTTCCAGGTAACGCCGGTCGGCGGATTGTTTACAGCAGCAGTAAACAATCGGCAGCTGACAGGTTGTCGCCGGGAATCTTTCCAATCAATCACGGTGGAGAATCCGAAGGTAGAACCGAGCAATGCCTTTTGCGTTAATGATGCCACAAATGTCGACTTACTTTGAAAACCATCTTTATTAAATTTAGAAAACAGCACTTTGTTAACAGTTGTGTAGCAATCGCAGGAAAGTAAAACCGAAGGAGTGCTGTTTAGGCGGGCCTAGTACAGAGCCCTGAGCTCTTCCTGGTAAGGTTCTCCTCCGCGACGCGCCTGGAGACGTACGACAAGCGGCGAGATCAGGTAGAAAAGTTGATTTGCAAAGTCCCTTTTCACGTCGAGGTACTTTCTGAATACAATCTAAACCGAGTAGGCAACATGAAGGTGGAAATCAGTTGCCGTTGGCGTAGCGCTATGTCGGTTTAACCCAGTGTTTCTCAAATAGTCAAGGGGGGCGCGTTTGACCTCGGGGAACATGCTTTTTTATTTTGATTTTTTTTTTAACTGTCCTAGAATAAAGTGCAGTGGCACCTCCATTACATTAGAGGGCAGTGACGCTCTCGTTGGCGGAGTTTGCGCAGGGAGCATTCGAAGGGAGGAAATATGACGAGGCGTATGTAGCACTTGGAAAGATCAACGTGCTTACTGTGTCTAAAAATGTTGGTAACGGACAGCATGAAGCCAAATAAATTAAGGAGTCACTTAAAGACATTACACCCCAATCACGCTGTTAAGCCGCTTGAGTTTTTCAGCGAAAACGTGCCGAATATTGCCAACAATCATCCCGCTTTGTGACTGTTACTTCAGTAAACTAAAAAACAGGGCCCGGCTACACATTGAGCAGGAGCCGAGAGTTGCTGTGTCCTGCTTCAAACCTCGCTTCGAATAGCTGTGCATTGCAAAACGTGCTCATTGCAGCCATTAATCCAGACGTCATCTTTGATTAAAAAAAGTCAGCACAAATTATTTGATATATTTTTGTTTTGCAAGTTAGTTTTTTTTTAATATTGCGCTCCTGAGTTAATATTGGTGACCAGTTTCAATGCATTATTATTTATTGATTTGATGTAATTTCATTTTTCAGTATCGTATGGTTTGACATGGTCAGTTGAGAAACACTGGTTTAAGCACTCGGAGGACCTTGTGGGGCTTCTGCACAACTGTACGACTGAGGGACGCAGTACTGACTTAGTCCGAAAAGGAAGTGCAAACAATGTCTATATGGGTTTGTTGGGGAGTTCAGGGTTTATGGAGGTGTGACCAAAATAGGGCTGCCCCCGCCCATCACTCATCAAGGTGCTGAAAGCGGCGACTCTCTGGACGGCGAGCTTGAGATATCTTCGAGCGGGAACACCGTTAGCGTGCAGGCTCGAATCCCGCCGAGCGACTCGGGTAAGTCAAACACTTTGTGCCACTCGTCTTTCTCGGGGTCGTATTTCTGAACTATTTCCACCATGCAGCGATTGTTCCACGAGTATCCGCCCACCACGTAGATCTTGTTCTCAAACACGGCCACGCCCACGTCGCTCTGGCCTCGCAACATGGCGGCGATAGGAGTCCACAAGTCCAGGGCGGGGGAGTAGTACTCGCAGCTGAGCACGTCGTCGTAGTCGCTGGTGCCGCGGAAGTGGTTGCCGCCGATGACGTAGAGGCGGTCGCCCACCGTGCACATGCAGTGGAGGCCGCGCACGGTGGTCATGGGCGCCTTCTGAGTCCATTTGTCTGCATCTGGGTCAAAGCACATCAGCTCCTTCTGAAAGGTGTCGTGAGTGATGCCGCCTGCAGCGAGACGAGAGGGCTAATTAGCTTCCACGCCGAGTAACCGGAGGAGGAACGTGCGATGGGATCGGCCAATGTGACTCATTCGCTCTCTTACATGGAGGTAAGCGGGCCAAGCGGATGAAAAAAAAAAATATGGCCACATTCAGTGGGGGGCATAAAGGATTTGAGAAATACTCAAGTCATTTGGCATTCACTCCCGAGTGAACCGGATGACTACAAAAGCAAGAGGGCCACAATGTGCTCACGCAAACATGCACAAACAGAGCGTAGACGTCGAGACGCACAAAGCTGAGGCAAAGTGGGGAGGAAAAAAAAAAAAAAACAGGACATGTCTACAGGGAAGGCTTAAAATAAAGAGGAACACAATCCCAGCATGCATTTGGGTAGAAGCCAGCATCCCCGCCCCACTCGCACACCCCCCCGAGGCTGAAAGACTCGGAGCGAGAGCAGCCAAGATTTGCGGTGAATCGACAGCAGAAAGCGCTTCGCTTGCTGCCCACAGATCGCGTGCGCGCTCTATTGAAGTCGCTTGAGCCGCCTTTTCGGGCCTGCGATGTGGCGCCTACTCAAGTGATCAAGTCAGACTTTCTTTCAACAACTGGCCCACACACTCAAGCCACCGGGGAGAAATCCGGCTCTCATTCAAGTCTTTTCTGTTTTCAAATGCTAACCAGAAATGAAAACATGAGCTGATTTTTCATATTCAATTTTAAGATCTGATTAAGAAAAAAAAAAAGAAATGGGGAAAAAGTGTGCCACAGCCATCGTAACGAATTTGATTTGAATATGTTTGATTACCTGATCGCACTTGATTCATGTCAGCACTGAACACCGCAGACACTTTGGAGTAAATGACTTCAACAGTACCTCAGCACACATTTTTTTTTTTTTTTTAAATTAAATCAACCACTGTGCAATGATACGTGAGGAACTGTGTGTATGGCATGTCTCGGTTGGAACGTGTGCACCAACTGGTGCAGATAGAGCAGAACGGGGAAAAAAAAAGTGCTTCTGACGGCAGCAAAATCAGTTTCCATAAAACTGTTCTGGCAGGTGGCAGTGGGGTGGGGGGTGACTGTAAAGTATATCTGGAGGAGGATAAGAAAAGTAGATTCAAGATTTTTTTTTTTTTTTTTAATCTACTGGTCTGACGAGTACAGAAAGCATGACACCAATGTTCATCCTTGGTGCAAGTCCGTACTCTGTGTGACATGCTACTTCCAGATACAAATGAGTAAAAAGTTGTGGAACAAACTCACAGCTCGTTTGATATCATTCGGGGGGGGGGGGAGAAAAAAATATATATATCGAGTCAGGGTAAACTCGTCATTTTCTTTTCAGATTAACTCATCCTTCACTTGTTTCTCCGCAAACACACATTGTCAGGTTCCATTTTCGTCCGTCAGCTGAAAAAAACGTTATGAGACCTTGTGATAAATTAAAAACAAGCTTTCAAAGACACCACCAGAGCGGCTGATTTGATATAAAAGTGCTGTACAATCATCCTTCGCACCTCCTCAGTCAGCCCACTGCTCGCTGGAGGCGTGTTGTGTGAAAGCCAACACTTAACCTCAAGTAACCTCCAACAAGAAGAAGGCATTTCATGGAATCGCTGATGAATCTCACATTGGATGATCAGAAGTATGAAATATTCCGCAAAACGGGTCATCCGAGGGTTAAGTTTACCCCTCGGAGCCCAAGTGGTCATGCGAGCGGCTTGAACCGCAGCACCTCAGGGTGCCGGCCGGCCCCGCGGTCCAGAGGCGCCGTGGCTCGCGCCGCTCGGCTACTCGCATCTCAAAAGCGCGCCGCGCCGCTTGAGCCGTGACGGTCCGCGGCCTGAGCGCATGTGTCAGGTTCATCCGGCTGACGGAATACCTTCGGACAGCCGAGCGGCGCGGCCGTACGACGGGAGCTGATCCGCTGTGACAGACCAACACGGAAGTGCACTTCGGCGCGGATCACCTTGCTCTAATCCGCCCCCGCCACCCCTCCCCCCTGGGTGCCGCGGGGCACTCGGTGCAACAAAATTCCGCTAATTGGCCATTTAACTTGCCTTAAGCCTTCAAAAGCCCTGCACTATATTTTCCAGAAGCAATACTTGAACTCTAAGGTAGGTGACTTTCAAATGAGACCGTTGGTAGCATTCCAAATTCTCCTCATCGTATGCGGCCACACAATCCAACTAATCGATGCGAACCACAATACAGTTTATACCTCTTGCGTTAAACTATAATCTGCAACAAGCGGAGATGACAATCTCTCTGATGCGCGCTCTCTCTTTTTTTTAAAATCCAGCTACACTAAACACGAAAGCATTTTGGATGCATTAGGGGAGAAGACGTGTAAGCAATGCCAACCAGCGGGCTCCGGACAATGAGAGCTCGCCGGCTAAAAGCAAATTTGCCGTCTTGTGACCACTCCGCTATGCATCGCTTCATTGCTTAATGCACTGGAAAATTCAACCAATTGATTCGAGGGTGCGCTTGCACACCACTTACGATGGTCACACATATTTTTGACAACGAGCAAAATCATAGCGTGTATCTGAATGATCAAGTGGACAAACAAAGTGCATGAGTCGAGTCTCTGAAATGAATACATCGCCTCTTAAGTACTCGGGGGCAAGCTCCAGCATGCTGAGATACTCTCTCTCAAACTAACGTGGTCCAATCTAACGTGTCGGCTGAAAAACAAACGTTGCTAAAAACCCATCATGGATGTTGCTGTAACAAGACCGTGCCCACAGCCAGTACGGATTAACAGGCGGGATTTTCCATGTGATGCCTCCCACACAGACTTCATCCAGTTATCACCCGCACCCACACCCCCCCATGCCCCACCCCGACTGCCGTTGTAAAAATTTGCTCAGGATTAGTCATCCAGAGAGAAACTAGGGCTCATCTCCATAGCGCGTGATATGCTGTTTTCAATCCCATGAAGTGAACAACCAACGGGGGTGTGACACCCAAAATGAGTCAGGCGACAAGAGCAAAGCTAACGTCTATCATTAAGGTACTCACCAAACAGATTTCAAAAGATGAATCGGTCCCAAGGGCCTTTCAGGTCTCAAAATGAAATCATTCTCTTGCTTTGTGTCACATCTACCGGTACTTTTGATTTCTCTGGTCCAATTCTGTCAAATGAAATTGCGCCCCTCCCCCAAAAGGCAGAAAATCCGAGCAAAACAAAATGCGTCACAACAAACACGCAACTGGGCTCGTCTCTCTCTGGTCACACTTGCACATAAACCACGTTTTAGTTACAACAAGCTCTGGTACGATTTGGCCCGACGGTGCGATTAATTTGTTCAAGTGAGAGAGAGCGCTTCCGTTGAGTCAAGGAACATATTTGACATGAGAAAAAAAAAAAAAAAACTTACGGCGGCGAGCAGAGACCGCTGACGGAAAGCGAGGAGTAGTCCACTGCCCTTCCGAGAGTGTTAAAACGCTGACATTTCGAGAAATTCATCGGCCTGTTAACTCATTCACTCCCAAAGACGTTTTTAAACGTCTTTTCAGACTTGGTCCGGAATTGGCTGGTACTGAATGAATTAAATAACGGACTCAAGAGAGCAAATGGGTTCGTTCGGATACAGTAAGGAAAACTTGTGTCAGGCAAATGCGGCCTATTAAAATAGCGGGTGTTAAAAAGTCACCGATGAGCAGCAAGCGGAGACTCGAAGCCGCCGTCAGCTCCGCCGTGCCAACAACCTCTCCAATCTCTCGAGAAGAAACATTTGCAGTTGGCTCCAAAAGACATCCGAACAGTTTTATTCACAGATAAAACGCCGTATTATTATTTTGGATGGTCAAGATGGAGGTTCTGGATTGCCACCATGTCTCCCCAAAATGCTGTGGTGTCAAAAAGTAGGCATTTTGTGGCCGGAAAATTTGGAGTGAGATACTGCACCCCTCGAGGGTGGTTTGAGGGTGTCGACTCATTGAACCGATTGTGCGGTCATGACATGGGAAGAACTTTCTGCCTTTCGCAGTCAAATCATTCTCATGTAAGAGAAGATGTGTGATATGAGACGGCATCATGTCACAGGTATAGGTTTTTAAGATATATATTTTGTAATTATCTCTCTGTAATGACAGAGACGCAACCGATTTGTGTTCTTCGGAAACTTACCTGAAATATACATATAGCCGCCATACACCGTCCCGGCGTGTCCGTAGTGTGGTTCGTTCATTTTGGCAACGTACGTCCATTCGTTCGTCCTCGGGTTGTAGCACTCCACGGTCGCTTCAAGGCGGCCGAGGGGGGGAAAAGGGGAGCGTATTAGTATAAAGTAGGTCAAGACACAACCGAGGAGGACAAATTGCAGTAAATGAGGCCTTGGAGGGTCTCAGCGTGGGAGCTGAAAACACAACTTTAAAAATGCGGGCGGTGCATCGGAAAAAAAAAAAAAAAACATCAGCAGGGGGCAAACAGGAAATTGGAAGAGGGTAAAATCGCAAAATCATTTCTGACAAAAGTTCCTGGGGATGTTTTCATCAAATCAAGGACGAGCTGGAGAAAAAAAAAAAAGTGATTCCTGAAATGATGCGTACTGGTAATTTAGCGAATTTGATCGCAAAGAAGGGCCGTTGTGTGAGTTTGTGCGCCGCTTGTGTGACGCCGCGACAGCAGTAGAACTCAGCATCTAGTTCCAGCGTCTTGAGGAACAGCCATTTTATTAATCACGTCCCTTATTAGCAATGCGTCCCCTCTGTTTGAACAACAACAACAAAAATATGCTAGCGGCAGGCGAGGGAAATGCACCCGATTCTTCCAATATCGTTTTTGCTCATCGTCGCTGCGATGATGAACGCTGACCGCCATCACCGCGATACAAAAAAAACATTTCATCAAACAACAACAGATGGGTCGCATCTTTGTGTGTGTCATTTTAGTGACGCAACAACCAAACTAGGGAGAAATAATTATATTAGCTGCGATGATGGAACGCTGACCGCCATCACCGCGATACAAAAAAAAATTTCATCAAACAACAACAGATGCGTCGCATCTTTGTGTGTGTCATTTTAGTGACGCAACAACCAAACTAGGGAGAAATAATTATATTAGTCAGGAGATTTACTGGCGACTCTTCTCCATCCCGCAAGGCAAGCGGAGGGTTTCTCAGAGGGTGGGATGAATGAATACTTTGCCCACTCATCGCCGGTCATTCAAAGTGACCTTGAGCCAAGCACGCAAGTGTACAGTCACTCAGGAGAGGAAGTCAAAACATCCTGAAGCGCAAACACTCGAATACTGGAGATTTACACCAGAACATTATTTTTGCTGGCATGCTTTCTATTTATCGGATGAAAAGCCCGATTGTGATTAGCGTGACCTTAACAGCCTGCAGGGGGTTTTATTTCCCCCCTCCCCCTCACAAATCTTCATGGAAGCGGTGGGCAGCCGGGAGACAACTGGCAATAGGGAATGGAGCCACTGTATTTTTTTTTTTTTTTTTGGGTGTATGACCTTCAGATTTGGCCCAAAACACGCGGGACAGAGCACAGTAATTGGATCGGCAAGCGACAAGTGTTCTGCAGAGGCCGATTAGTTCTAATAATCTCAGGCGATTAAGAAAAGAGGCAAGAAGAAGGGGGGCGGGGGGGGGGGGGAAAATGCATCAAGCTTAGTTTTCGAGATTGCTTTGTCGGAAAAGACCACAAAGCCAAAAAGAGAGACGAACTGCTGAGCACCAATAAAAAGAGAACCTTGCTGACTCTGAACCCTCGGCTTGATAAAAGAACCAGACGAAAAGGTCATAAAAAGATCTGATTTAATCCTAAAAGACCATTAAAAACAACGTGACATATTCCAATGACCTTAAAATCCTTCCGTGGAAACCAGAAACAAAACAAATTCTCTGATTCTTGCCACTGAAGCTGACTGTGCTGCCATTATTTTGCCCACCTAAATGCTCGCCAAACCCACCAATCCAACAATGTGGTTCAAATGAACATCTAAGAAAAAAAAAAAAAGAAAAAAAGGAAAATAAATGGATGCAATTGCATCACTACATGACGCCTTTGTTCTGTTTCAACTCTGTAAATGTTTTGTGTCGGGTTTTTTTCAGGCTGGGTTTCCGCTCAAACTGAAAATGTTTCAAATGACACGATTGGTACGATTACCCCCAGTATGTGGCTTTTTGTGCAACGTATCTACTTCCCCATGGCATTGCAGAAATCGGCGGCTAATGGCAATCATTTCTTGGTGGGTTTTCGCAGTATACTTTACTGTAATGCTTTTGCATGTGAGAAAGGAAGTTCATCGTTCCTGATGCCGGCAAAACCGTAAAACAAAAACTACTGGCGTCGGCCACAGCTCACTCACCACTTCTTGCCTCTTGAAGGGACAAAGCCAACTAGGTTTCAAGTGCGTGGGAGCGCTAAAACTATCAAAGTGATTTTTTGGGGGGGGGGGGTTTGTCTACATATCATCCGAAGCAGAACAGCAAAGGTGTATCTTATTAAACCAGTCGTTCTTTCCGAGAAAAGTCCTTGTTAGCCAAGTGTCTAATCTCGTGCAAAAATTTGCCGTTTCTGAGAGACAGGAGGAAAACGTGGGGGCAGGGGGAGGAGCCAGAAAAAGCAACTCACCGAGCTCCCCGGCCGCATTCCTTCCACCGACAGCGTAGAGGTGTCCCTTGAGCGCGCTGAGGTGGAAGAAGGTCCGCTTCTCATTAAGGCACGCCACCTGCATCCACTTGTTGTAACGGGGGTCGTAGCGGAACACCGTGTCCACCGCGGTCTTGCCTTTGGTGTCATAGTTGCTTTGGCCGCCCACCACGTAGAGGAAGTTGCCGATGACCGCGATGCCGTGTTGGTAGCGAGGCGCGTCCATGGGCGCCAGCGCTTTCCACTCGTGCGCCTTCTCGTCAAACAGACGCAGCTCCTTGCTCACCACGAGCTGCTGCCGCAGGACGCCGCCCAGCGTGACCAGGTGGGCGCTGTCCGAGCGGATGGCCGTCCGTTCCGACTGCATGACCGGCTGCATGTAGGGCATCATTTGGTAGTTGCTAGCTTCCAGGAGGAGGTTGACGCAGGTGTTGTCTGTACGCATGAAGTCCACCGTCTGGACGTGATTGATGAGCTCCTGCGGGTTCATGAGGGGGAAGCGGATGTTCTTCATGAGCTTGGAGGCGTAGTCCATGCGGCTATCTTCGTAGCGTAGCCAGCGGCAAGCGGCCTTGAAGAGGTCCAATTCGCTGCAGTGTTTCAAGCTGTTGCTGGACAGCACAAAGGCCAAGCGCTCAAACGGCAGCTTGACGAACTCACCCGTGCCCAAAAGCGAGGGGAAGTTTTTCAGTATGAAATTGTTGACGTATTTGTCCACCTCTGTCAGGTTATACGTGTTGGCGATGCGGCCCACCTCGACGCAGTTGTCGAGGGAAACCTGCAAAGTTAGAAAAAGAAAATAGCCAAGCGGCACCAAAGTATGTTGATAACAAAAAGCCAAGTGGGTTTGACTTAGGTAGATATGTCGACATAGAGCTAGCTTAAAAAAAAAAAAAAAAAAAAAGCTATCAAGTACTGTGCAATTGGTGAAAAATGTGATGCTGCAGCAAAACACCGAGCGCGCACGCACGCACGCTCGCTCTCTTACCCCGGATATAAGAAAGACCTTGCAGAAATCCAACACCGGAAGGATTTGTAAGAAGCTGGCTGCTTCGAGCGTGTCCTGCAGATTCTCCATGTTGAGCGACAACTTGGCTGTGTAGATGAAGTCGATGATCTTCTTCAGGCCTATTCGGTTCACTCCGTGGAGCTTGATGCACATTAAATCCTGTTCTTTCATTCCACCTGCATCGGGGGCAAAGCAGAGGATCAGCAAAAAAAAAAAAAAAATAGATGGCGCCACACAACTAATACATAATCCTCCTTTGATTGACAGGTCTGGGAGCTGCTGCATCCAGGCAATGTTCTTGTCCAGAGTTACACTCGGGGGGGGAATTCAATTCCCAAGATTTTGCTTTGAGCCAAGAGGTCACTCTTAGTGGAACAAGTCATAGTGACATACCTGCTGCGGTGGCGAAGCGCGGATGTGCTCATGAATAATTGAAAAATAAAACGCTTTTACTTCAGAATACAATAGCGAGAAAAAAAAAAAAAAAAGATAAAGCAGCCATTTAATGAATCAGCGATGCACATCCCACGCACGAATTATACCAGAAGGACACGGGAGGAGTAAATAGTCGGAGTCATTCCAGACCCACCTGTGAACATGGCTTTGAAATAGTCCGAGGAAGAGGCCATCATCGCTCGATGAACGGGGAAGGCTTCGTCGCCGTCGCCGGCGACCAGAGTGACATCGCAGAGCAGGCCCTCTATCCTCAGCTGGTCGAAGCCCTGCGTCGAGAGGAACGACGAGAGAATAAGTCTCTTCTCATCTCATCTCATCTCAAGGGGTGAAAGCCGGGACCCAATCGAGCTCTCACCTGAAGAACCACCGAGCTGTGTGTGTTGCTGGTAAAAAAGCGGGTGTTTCCAGTCTTTGATGCCTGAAGGTGAGCGCAGATGCCCATATCACCGTAGCCCAGAGCCACTTTCATGTGAGTGTCGTCGTCCTCCACGAGGGATCTGTGACGAGAATGAGAAGTGGCTTTTACGAGTGCCGCTCGAATACCCGCAGCGGACAGTCCGGTTCGGCAGCTTGGAAGGGGCCAAACCCCCTTTTCACCACAATGCGCGTAAACTGGGTGCTGATGGTCAGACTGGAACGTCGTTCCAAACAGATGAAATGTATGAAAATGATCTTTGATCAAAATTATCAGCTGACAATCATTGGACTTATTCCTAAAAATCAAACTGCGTATAGTGAAGCTTTCAAATTATTATAATTTTTTTTGGGGGGGGGGGGGTCAATTCAAGCATTTTCACGCAGACGTCAGCCATTCCAGCTCGAGACCAAGCTCGGTCTGCAGCTACTTCAGGGACGATTCCCCGTTTCGCTTCCACCGCAGGAGTAAGTGCGTGGAGACCGTAAAGTGCAAAATCGATTCATCCCAAATCATGACCACTTCATTCAAGGGACATCAACGGGCAGACCAAAAGCAAAAAAAAAGAGAACAATGGAAAATAATCCATTCTTCTTTGTGATTACTTATAGAAACGGTGAAATATGAAAGGACTTGTGGTCGTGGGGTTTGTCGGCAGTTTCTAAATTTGTCTTTTCTGAACGGTCAAAACTGGTCGGACATGAATGTGAAAAGAATAAAATGAGGATGACCTTCAGCAATGTTTAACTCTTAAATTCACATGCCCCCCACGCAGATCAAAAACGCTGCTTTGAACAGAGGATAGGATTCCTTGTGATGTGTCGCTAACCTTTTGCTGACCTTTTCCACTTGGACATAAAAGATGCCGGCAGAAAGACAGAACGAGAACGCCCCCCCCCCCGATACAAACAGTTAACATATGCGGATTTCTTCGCAGATGAACCATTTCCATTTTGTAAACGTGCCGAGCATACATCTTTCGTGCTTCGAAGTGGAAAAGCTGCCAAAGTGATTGAATGACCAAGTAGCCTCTTGACGACTTTGCCAAAACCAGGACCAGCCGTGCGGTTTTGACATTTGCACCATCCACGGCATCCACATGGCAGCCTGTAATAAACCGAGTGGCGCCCCCGGAGGGCCGTGAACATGACGTCAGTTCATGTAAATAACTGGGGCGTCGCAGAAAAGTCGCTTTGAACAAAACAATGTGCAAAATGGGCGATGTGACGTGTCCTTTTCTTAGATTTGGAGCTGCTCTCCAGAGGCTTCTGGATGGCACTCTCTTCTTTTTTTTTTTTTTTAATGCGTAGTGACATTTCTGTGTCTAGACTCAGGCAAGAAACTAATGAGTGCAAAGTGCAGAGCTGTGTTACGCACAGAGAACATTATTAAACAACTGCGGCCCGGACAAGATCGAACGAGATTTGAGAATTAAGAAAGACGATTCCGAGAGAGATTCATTTTTCTTTGCAGTAGTTATTTGAGGAAAGAAAAAAAAAATGACTTGAGTGTCCGAGATGCTATTTGGCTAAAATAACGACCTGTAAAACGGTAAGATAAAGTATCCATCTGTTACCGAGTTTCAAACAGCAACTCTAATGTAGATATCAAGTCGGTATCAGGCCGAGGCAATATTTTGAAAGAAAGAAAGAAGTCAGTTTATCACCGGAAGGAATTCCTTTACAACGGCCCTTCTATCTCCCTTATGCGGAGATTTATTCACACCGTCGGTGAATACAAGGTTTAAAAATATTACAGCTATCCTCCATGCGGATACGTTGATCGAATTCTCAAGGGTAGCCGACACTTTAAATGCTGGCTGGCCTGATTTTGATAAAATATTGTTTTACAAAAACGCTTGGCACGCCATCGCGGTAAATCTGTCTCCACCAGGCTCTCAGTCACTAAGTGAATCAACGTGCATTCCCATGTGCTTTGTGCAAACTTTGCTTTCATATATAAATCTTATTTTTTTTCCAACCAGAAAGCTTCTGAAGGCTACTAAATGTTTGACGGGCCAATTGACAAACAATATAGCTCCATCCTTGATCGTCAGTTAACAGATTTTGGCTGATAAAATAATGGGACAAAATTAGAGGATAGATCATTCGAATTATGATTTGAAAGGCATGAGAGCCACTAAAGCACAGGTGTCAAACTTGAGGCCCCGGGGGCCAGATCTGGCCCGCCACGTGATTTTTATGTGGCCCGCGAAAGGAGATCATGTGTGTCAACTGTACCGAAATCGTCAAATTGCCATATGTAATAAATCACATTGAGATTTTGTAATAATTTTCTGAACCTGGTTGCACTCAAATAATTGACTGATTTCAAAACTTGTAATCCATCAATTTGATTAAATAATTCGGCACTCCGAGGGACGACGTCACTCCAAAGTGGCCCGCGACGAAAATGAGTTTGACACCCCTGCACGAAAGCCACAATGCATTTTTTTCCTGAGGTCTTGGCGACCGATTGGCGCTTGCCAGCACAACGTTAACAACAAACCAACAGCGGACAAATATGAGGTTTCCTGCCAATGCGCCTAAAAAGTGATCAAGATATACATTCCATACAACAAACACGATTAAAGAATGTGAAGAATCACTATCAAACACAGTCTTACAGAAATGACAGCGGAACCTCATAGGTTGAAGACCAGAAAGGTCACAAAATGTGGACATGAGCGAGATTTTCTTGGACAAAGACACCTCGAAAATTACTCTGACCTACTTTGTGTTATTGGAAAGTATTGAGTGCCGGCGACACTTTACTTTTCCATTAGTTTTTTTTTCTAAATGACTGTGTTCAACCTTTGTGATTCCACCGTACGTGCTAATTGGTCACATTAAAAATCAGTCAAATTACACGATATGGGCACGTGATGGATAAACAACTGAACTGGTTGCCACTTGTTTCACATTCCAAGGAACTACGAAGACGAATGGAAATGTGGTCGCGCGCAAAACAACAAAAAAAGCACACCAAACAGACGCCACCGCTACCACTACTCAATGCGACACTTTTCTTTCTTGGAATGAAGGCGAAGGGTCACAGACGGGACGGTGACACATCTGGCAGGATTCGACACCTGCCACTGCTCAAAAACCGCACAGCGATCACAAATCACAGGGAAGGGACACCATTGACATTTACCGGGTCAGGTGGTATGGCGGACAGGCAGCGAGGAGAGAGTGTTTTGTCCACACCACAAAGGAGTGTTGGTGGCTGCCGGAACGAAAAAAAAAAACAAGACAACAACTACAGCATACCAACATGAGAGACGGAATGCGTTCCGGCGGTTGAAAGCGAGGTTAGGTGAACTCCGCTGATTGATGGATTGATTGTGGGAGAGTGGAAACCTTTTGCCATATTTGCTTAGCCAGTGCCAAGGGGACATTGATTTACTTAACTGCAGTTTGGGGGTTTATTAGTTGGGAGGAGGTGGTGGCGGCGTCATTATTTTGGGATTCACAAACAATTACCAGATGAGACTTTTTCCTCCTTTTCCTCCCAAAGAGATTCTGATGATCAGTGAGGCTATTGCAGTCAAGTGAAATAAAGTTAAAACAAAGTCAATGGGACTATGATGGAAAAACGCTGAGAACTCGAGGCAGACTGAGACGAACAAATAAGTGGTCCCCAGACCCCAGTACATCAACAAATGACATCACACATCATTTAATACAGCAGGGAAATTGATTGAAATACGGAGCGAGTCTCTGCACATGTTTTCAAAAGAGAGACTTGCTTTGGTGCTGCTGTTTTGGTTCGCAGAGCTGTCAACAGACGTCAAATTAGAAGTCACATTTGTTTTTGGAATACAAGCGAGCATATAAAAAGACTGGATTAAAGAAAAAAAAAAAAAGAAAAAAGGAGTAGGGCATCACGCCCTGCGGTGTGAATTTAGCCAAAGACTATTTGTAGGCCGGGACTGTTTGCATCTGCAGAAAGAAACCCTTCTTTACGAATTGAGGTTTTGAGAACAGAAAAAAAAACAAAAAGTAGCAAGTCAAAGAAACCACTAAAAAGTGCTCAGGGAAATGAAGAAATGAGCCAGGAGGGATTGAAAGTGGCAGTCTATCAAATCCCCTTCATGTCAGCGGAAAGCTTAAAAACATCCTTCTACCAGTGACAGTTTAAGAAGCTAAAGTCAACTCGGCTTTTCCGCGAGATGACAGTGGCTCTTGAAAGATTTATAAGAATAGCTTTGCGGTCTTAGCTAGCTGCGAACCAATAGAAACATCACAAAAAAATCCGTCCATTTTAAATTGGAAGGCATCTTGACGGACAATGTTGCGCTCCGTAAAACTTCGCAACCCCTCACGGACGCGTGTGGAAGAACCCGAGCGAAAACGCTTCCGACGAAGGGTTCGCGTTTGTTCAAGGGCATATGCAAACACTTCTTCATCAAACATTCTTTGTCATCGGTTGAGGGTTTGTCAACGACGTGGCCGGATGGCAAAATGGCAAAGTGGCGTTCCGAGCAATCTAATAGAAGCAATACGAGGCTCCGCAAACTCATTTGACTTTCAAAGAACGCAGCGAGCGCCAAACTCAATCACTCAGTTGTCGGACCATCTGCTGTGCTCCTGTACATTCCATCGACGACTTCTTTAAATGACGCAACGGCTCCAGACATACCTTCCACCGCGGGGGAACTCATCCATGATAATCCCGGCTCAGAAAAGCAACAAAGCAAAGGCGGCGGGAGATTGCGGGCAAACGACACCTATGTCGCTTTCGGTACATGAAAAAAAAAAAAAAAAAAAGGTCAGCTCATTATTATTGCCGCAATCAATGGCGAAACGGGGCCTTCCGCATGCTGCTTTTTCGACAAGCTTCCGCCCTGCTTGAGACAGCGATGACACACTTGGCCCCTTCGGATAAAGTGAGAAGTCAAAAACACTTAAGCGTTCAGTGAATTTGCAAACCGCTTGTTTGTGCCGGACAAATAGTCAAAAGGCAGCTGGGCAAGAAAAAAAATTAATTAAAGACGAAGCAGCCTTGCAGTATTGTTGCTAAATGTTCCGTCTCACAGCTTTAGTCCTTCAGATTCTCAGGCGGGATGCATTTTGTGATGGGCAAGACTACATGAGGTACCTGAAGGGCAGATTTATATCCTGAAGATGGACGTCATCATCATAACCATCAACTTGAATTCAGACAATTTATTCCGCTGAGGAACGAACACGAAATCACAACTTATGAGATCAAATGCGATGTTCAGGGCTACAGAGTCAATTCGTCTTCCAACTCGAATGATCACATCATCTGGAATTTGTGTTGGTTAATTATCACAATATCAACATTTGGCCTGGGTATGGTGGCAAAAAAAAGATTAGAATTTCACCTTCAATGAAAAGAGATGCATAATGTGGAGCGCCTCAAAAGAAAAAAAAATGTTTCTACCTGAACCACAAAGAGTTAAGTGAGAGAAAAAAAAAAAAAAGGCTTGCGTGTGGGTGGCGTAGACAATCTGTCAACATGCACCAAATGCTAAATCAACCTGACGGATACTGCAGCAGGAAGACAACCCAGAACAGGATGCGTACGACTAAAAGAGACGCCGGGCGACAGAAATAGTACTTGCTTAGAGATACTTTACATTTTTAGGAACAAGATATGAACACAAGTTGTCACTGCGGCACAGCCGCAGAAAAACATGGCCACGTTTTGACAATGACGTGATACTACAGACTTTTGGCGGTGCAGAGCGGCGGCGTGGAGATGACTTTTGGAATGATCGCGGGGACAACTGAACAAAATCCCGGCATATTTCGGGACTAACAAATGTTTCCCGGTGCGTGACGTTGCGTGACAAAAATTTCTCTTGGGGGGAACAAATGTGCAAGAATAACGTCAATCCAAAAAGTCAGGGGATAATTAAGATTGTAAAGGAGTCTGATGAGTGAGCACACGGCGACAAAACACACGTAGGAAAAAGTGTAAAAGATGTAATATTGATGATGATCAGTTGGATTAATGTCTGAAAATTGTGTTTGTATCCCCCCCCCCCCACACATTTTCCCTGAATTGTTTTAATTCAGGGAAAATGTTTTTTTGGATTCAAATTTACTTTTATATCCCCAAAAAAGTGAGCTCAGTAATCAGACGACTATCTGTTGTGGGAAGACGTTTAGTTTGATTCAATTTCAAGATAGGCCATATCTGCCCCCCCCAACCAAAAAAAAAAAAAAATTGCAACTAATTAATCTGGATCTCTGGCCGTGTAAATGTGTTTTATTTCTTCAAGAGATGTGAGATTCAAAGTGAAATTGATTAAAAAAAATAAATAAAATCCTCCCAGCTCTTCTTGAGTCTGATGTCAGCTGTCAAATCGACAACATTTTAATGTGGAATGCAGATTGTCGTTTGGTTAGGTTGGTATCGGGATTATTATGAATTGATTCTGTTGGTATCGGTTGGTATCGTGATTCCGCCGCAGAACGAGTGCCTGACAGATACGTGTCTTTATGTATCGCACGATAATTTGATTTGCCCGCATTAGCTAGCTAGCAGAACAAAATAAGCACGGGTGTATTCAAAACCTTTCGCTGTGGATATAAACTTTACCCTAGCTGCATACAGTTATAAATATCACCAAAGCCTCAAGGGCTCCACAGCAAAGGACCTCCAAAGGGAAACCTATAATTGGGGGGGCGGGGGGGGGGGGCGATATCCACCTAACCAAAAACACAGCTTACAATGGACACGTTTCAAAAAATAGCAAGCGGTTTGGTGAGGCGGAGCCTCGGGGGCTTGACATGCTTCACTTGACAGTGCGTGCGTACAACCTTCTTATGGAGACACGCAAACGCCATCCTCGGCCACTTGCGTGCTCGCGATGAGTCCTCGTTGTGCTTTCGTGCGCCGTGCTTGTCCACTAAAAGGACATTCTGACCAGACGACGACTGAAATCTCGCTGCATTACTTTTAATTTGGTAGAAGGGACTGAGTCTTCTATAACTGCCGACTGGTGGGGAACAAAGCAAAGAAAAAGACAAATAAGACACAAGGAGGACAGACACATATTTGGTGTTAAGATATATTCAACAGGAAAAGTGTTTGATGATGACGATGATCCAAAGACTATTCTAGGTGGGGATGTCAAAGGGCCGGGCCTCAATGGTCACGACTACTGTGGCAAGCTCGTACGTCTGAACAAGACAAGTCAATTGTGTTGAAATGTAGGGAGATAACTTGGGATATTTATCAATAAAGTATCAACATTAAGTCTTAACAGGCAACTGCATCTGTCAACCCTCAAGATGCTTCTCTGTTGAAACAGGTGTCAAATTATACATTGTGTAAAAAAACCCAAAAAAAAAAACAAGTGTCTTGTTTGCAAGACTGAATTTCATTAAGCTCACAAAATTAAGCTCGTAAGTAGCTCAAAAGTAAATCTGCGCAATAATTGGCCATCGCATAAATCCACTTGAGCAACCAAAAAGCCAATACAATCACCCGTGAGGTAGCCTAGCTCGCCTTCAAATTATTCGAAACCAAACCCACATTTTCACTCCTCCTCCCGTAAACCTTGATGAACAGGACCGTTCGTGGGGAGCTGATGAAAAGAAGGACCAAAAGAAAGGCTGGCAAAAGGTTGTGTGAAGACCTTCTGGTCTACCCTCCCCCCCCTAACCCCGCTTCTAGAACAGTAGCAGATGACAATAGCTTCGAAAAGCAGGGCAAGCCAGACATCCTGACAAAGGCAGACTCCTCCCTAGCCGGCGAGTCCCCGTTTCCAAATAAACAGAGCCACAGGGAGACGACAAAAGTCGTGGACGTACTGCTCGCTGTGCCCTGGACAAGCAGCGAATTGACTGTTGCCCAAAGCAGCGTGCCAGAGAAACACCAAATGCATGCTGGACAAGGCTAATCTCTTGAAACGGTACAACCGCTCAAATCACATTTATAGAACCCACAACTGGAACCAAAAATGACAGCGTCCAATGTTCAAAAAAGATTTTTTGAATCTCTCAAAAGTGAGAAACAAACAGAAATATCCCCACATCCACATTAGCGCTGTCAGAATGCTCTTACTCACATGTAGGCAGGTGAAAGCGGCGAGGACCGGGACGTCTTAAGGACCGGCATTGGGAATTTCCAGCTGACGGGAGAACCGCTTTTCCATTTCAACGGCATGTTGTTGTCACCAGAAAGGCGCTAGAGCAACACCGACGGCAAAGAGCATTTCCATGCGAAGCTTCTCAATGCAGTCTTCCATACCACTCCTGCCCACACCATTGAAGAGGGGGGAGGGAGAGCGGGCCGCGGCGACGGAAATACACGGGGTGGAGGCAGTGCGGGTTACAGGCAGGGTTGTGACATTAGCGGCAGCGCCGAGAAGCCAATAGGTTGCATCCACCGCGACTGCTCGCCTCGCTGCAGAAGCGGCGGTCTCGCGGTAGGAGGAGGGGGGGAAGGAGCTCAGCCTTCCGAGGGTTCACCAAGTGTAGCTAAGCAACAGTGCCACCTTGTTAGCACAATTGTGATTACCGCCATGGTCATGGCTGTGGCATTTCTTTGAAGCTAAGCTGACATTCGTTCGGCATTATTGTTCAGTTGTGTTGGGACTGAAGCTTGGTGATTTTATTTTAAACAATTCTGAAATGCTTTAAAGGTAAAACACAAATTGTGGCGTGATGATCAACCTCCAATTTGTTTGGATCTCGGGGAAATTGTAGGGTTTTTTTTTTTCATTGTTAATTTTGGAAGGAAAAAAAAAATCACCTCTCAGGAACATTCGCAACATTTTAATTTGGTCAGTAACACTTAAAAAAAAAAACATGCCACCAGAAAGTCTCCAAATATCACAATTATTTTTTTAACTCTTTCAATGCCAGCTATTTTCTGAGTGCCAGCCAATTGAAATCAATTCTGATTTCTGACTGATCTTTCAAGGCGCACGCAATATTGTTTTATGACTCTTGACAACACAGAAATGATCAAATGAAAAATTTCATCACAAAAACTAAGGTCTGCCATCCAACTTCGCCAACGCCGTCGCAACATTCCTCTCTGACGCTAACATGCTATGACCCGTTCTGATATGAATTCGAGATTTCTGATCCAGCCTTCATTGTCAACGGCTAATTCGCAACTTCATTCGAGTCGGCACCGATTCGTGCCCGGCCCGTCCGCGCACGTGACAGTTCGTGCGCTTCTTCATGAACACTGCAAACTTGAGATACTCGCATCACGCGGGCTACTGCAAAATCTTCAAGAGTTGAACACAGCACACTTGAGGGCCACAAATATTCCACTGTCGCCAGGTCAAGAAAAAAAACTTTGCTGCCCCATCTGTCATCGCCTCAGTTAGACCAGATGTCATACGCTGCGCTGACTATCAGCTAAATATAGCCCCGCTGTCATACTACAAAAGCTCTGAACTTTTCACACACAATCCTCGGATGCCTTTTAGAACTCTGGCGGCGAAAAGATTGCACAACAATTGAAGATCAACAATGCAGGCACCTTTTGTTTGACACTGTGAAGAGACAAATTAATTCAACAATGTTAATTATGGTGGCTGCGGCTGCAAAAGTGTCGAGTGCACTAAATCATACTCGAGAGCTATTCCGAACATGTTTTACTCTCACGCAACTAGCTGGGGTAACCAAAATGTTTGACACAGCTCTCGTTATGATGTAGTACCGTTCTACACCCTGGCAAACTACAAACATAATAAACAATAAATAAATTTTTTTTAATAAGTACCTCTTTGACAGTGTCAATCAAAACTATAAAAATTGCAACGTTTTTTTTTTCCTAGATTCAACTTCATTATTAGATATAATTCCATTTGTCCAAGTGGACATGAAGTGGCATTTTCACTTCCTGTAGGTGCAATTGCCACGTGTTCCAATATAATTGTATCCATATACTGAAGTGGGCTGCAATATTACATTAGCATATTATCATAATGCCTTCAGGGGAAATTAAATTCACACTGCCACATATTAATGTTGCACGCCACAGAGAAGTAGACACCACTCATGACGGCATGCAAAGGGGGAGGTGAGAGTGTTTGGGCATGCAAGTAGTGACTGTACCCTTGAGCTGAGGTTACGTGCCTTGCTCAAGCACAGCAGTCAGGATGCAGACTAGCATTATCACCAATAAATAGTTGTGGGGGTCAAATCATGACTATTCCGTTCCAAGTCCTTGCAGATGAGCTCCTGACATAAGATGCATATGTGTTTTTAAGATTTGATTTTCCTTTTTTTTCCTGGCAGTTGAATGTGCTTGAGTTCTTTTGTCCGTCCGTTTTCCCGCTGCTGTGAATTTAACCAGAAATTGGCTCACCGATCACTGGCGAGATTGGGAATACATCTCCGAGCTGGTGTATAGTGGGTAAGAGGCAAAAATTGAGGAAACTACTAAACTGCAATCAGCGCAGATGCTGTTGAATCAGTCGTCACTAGTTTGCTGCCAAGAGAACTGCAACATGATGTCAGCTATGGGAAGCTTGAGCTACAGCAACACAAGATGGCTCTTCCGGGCAGTATTATTCTGCTCAATGACACTGGGACGGAAAGACTGCAGAAGAACATGCCAGTAAAACTTAAAAATAGCAATCATTGGTCCTTAATTTCTCCAGATATTTTTGTCTAAATGCCCAACCTATCTGTTTTGACTGATATTACCTTCCCTTGCGTCATCATAGTTTTCTTTAAATAAATATACTCGTCACGTCATATTCAAATATTTGCTCTTTAGCTAACACCAGTATTATCAATCCTGTCGCAAACAGATGTAAGGAAATCCTATTCCTAGGTTGAAAAGGTTTCCATAAGAAAATACAAGCTTTAACTCTCCATCGAGCCATAACTACACATTTGTCCACAACTTCTGCAGCAGCTGTTTTTCAGCACGATCCTGAAGTACAGCATCTTAACTCCTAATCAGGTGTTACCTGATTAACACCGCTGATTCCACATGAAAGCTTTTCTCCAGATGGTATGATAGACTTACAGCCAGGATACAGAGTCAGGTCAAGTCGGGCCAGATAACCGCTACACTTTACTTTTTCATAAATATGATATCAAAAATTGATTGGATTTGTCTTGACTGAGGGTGTCATTTAAACTCTCTCGATAAAGTTCAATAACTATCACTTATTGCTAGTTGTGTAATAGAATTGCACATTACCTGTCATGCAGTCCAATGGGCATTGCGTCCCCTCTGTGCACAGGGTGCTCCATACCCTTGCCAGGCAACACCTTTCAAACCAAAAAATAAATAAAAAACTTTCAACCAACAACAAATAGACCATTAAAGTAGCAAAGGCAACATTCAAGTGTGAATCGGTACAAATGTGAATGTTGCAAGTGTGACCCATGTTTGAATGCCTTAATTTACGTGATGACAACGAATTCAAACAATTCCTTCCACATTAGTGACAGACATTTATCCTCAAATTAAAAAGTCTGACAGGCAGACAAATTTCTATTACAATCCAGCTGACGCTTTTAGGATTCTGGCTTCTCTGCTCATCTCGAGAACTCAATAAGAATTTGAAGTCCTTCAAGACATCCCACCATGAAATATACCATCTTACTTTTTTTTTTTTAGTTCCAAGTCCTGATGTGGGCTAATTGAACCTAAAAATATCTGCCTGTTGTCATGCCTCAAAAGCGCAAATTCCATCATCAATGGAAACGACTCAAGGAGCTGAAACGCGTCAAAGTGACTCCCAACATAACCAAATGAAAGTTTTACCTTTCTGTGGCGCGATGCAACGTCTTGGACACGCAAGGGAAGTGACTATATTGCGCGAAAAGGGAAAGTGTGCAAATGAGTGAGCTAACTTGTTTATGAGCACAGGAAACCGCCGTTTGAGCCCGGCGATGTAAACGAGTCGATTAAGACAATACGTTGTCACGTGATCAGGGCTGTCAGGCTACAGTAAATCTCATTTTACGGTCATTTGCGGTGAGCGTTACCACCAGTGGGCAGGCTAATGCTAACAGCATAGCTAAGCTAACGCTTGACCGTTTATTATTAGCTAACGCAATATGCATTAAGAACAGTCGATAGTGATGTTGTCAGTTGTGTTTACGAGTAGCTATTTTCTATATATATTATTTGGGTAGTTTAGAACTGCTAAACAAGCTGAATCTTTAACGTGAGTTACTTGGTCGTAGAGTTCGGTGCTAGTTGGTCCGGTTGATTTGCCTCGACCAATTAATAAACAGCCTGGTTGTCAACCTGTTGTCTGCTGATTAAATATGTACCATAACCGATTCGATTATACTACATTAAACATACTCCATGAACTTTAAATGATACATTCCATACCTTCCACGACAAGGTAACGCCGACTGATGTCCTTGTTTTCCTTCCAAGCCCTGAAATCCACTTAGAGCGAGGGAGCTGCCCATTCTGTTTTAGCCAATCAAATTTTAGCTTACTGGTAAAGTCCGAACATCCAAACTTGTCATTGGTCAAATAGTAAGGCAATCTTTTCTTATTGGCTCAAAACTTCCGTTACTAAATACGTACAGCATTTCTCGTGAGACGTTCTCACGCGTTTGCAAAAATGTATTGCTTTTATTATTAAGGTACACATCAAAGTGTAGGATGGGAGCAATTACATTTCCTAGTCAAAGTGCTGAAATTCAAAAGTATGTAATATCTGACAGTGGAACAGGAAATGTTATGACATTTCCCTTTGTTCTTGTATTTATTTTCAAACTTTAATTTCAACTTTAGTGCACCTGACTTTAGGCTAGCGTGGTTGTCTCAGAGTGCTTCATTGTCATGGCATGGAAAAGCCTTGCAATTAGACCTGGTGGGGTACTATATTCCAGTAACCAAACCAGTGCTGCGAAGTACTGTATACCAAACCAGTGTTGTGTAGTATAGTCATAAGAAAGATCCTAGGCTAGACATGACAGGTCATATCCATTTTCTTCCGGGACATAGGAGACGTATTCACAGTTTAGGGCTGCGTGCTTTCAGTGCATTCATCGGACACACCCACTGGGTTGAAATGTGGAGCGAATAATTTGATTTGTCATAATGTTGTTGCACATTTTACATAGTCGTTCAAATTTAGATTCATTTTCAAGTTACATGGACTTTTAATTGCTAAGCAGCTGCTTAGTTCTTATTAAATTTGCATGTTCAACAACCACGTCTGCCTCTACTCCGATACAGCAGGAGGCGATCTGTAAACCAAAGACCAAGACGCAAACCGTGGCCCATGCCCCGCCCTTTGGGTATTGGCTGACAATTTTTTCTTTTTTTTCCCCTTCAAGAAATGGGTTTGTTTATAAGGCTGTCTGTCCACTGCCTCCGAACGACTAGATCAGTAATTGGTGCGAAGACGCCATTTTTGCTTCTTGGAAGATACTCTGACTGGATATAAGTAAATGATCGCCGGCTTATGGGTAGATATAACAAAAGACTTGCAGCCTTTCGCGAGTATGTACGAATGTTGCTCTAGTTGAGCACAGTGTAACGTAAGGCTGTGACGTTGACAGGAAAGTGTTTGTCGAATAAGACAAGACCAAGCCTTTTCCATGTTATTGTTACAATGCAAAAGGAACGAAGGAGATAGCGGTGTCATCTCCCTTAACTCAATCGCATGTTTTTTTTTTTTTTAGTTAGTAGCTGCTTGCTGGTGGTTAGACTGGCTAGCTAGATCACGGTGAGCTCATTTCATGTTAGCATGGCGTCAGACACGAGTGACACGGACGAGTTCTACGATGCTCCGGAGGACGTGCATTTCAGCCCATCTCCCAAAGTGTAAGGAAACACATTTTGCTATATATATATGTGTATGTGTGAGTTGTGTCGATCTTCTAAAATAAAAGCTTGTCTTTAATATGTTTTTACATTGTTATTACACATATTCACGTCCGTGTAATCTTTCATTTTCACTGCACAGGATATTTTCCCCATTAAAAACAATATATGCGCAATGTTGCAAGGCTCTTGAGTGTTGCAAAACACTTAAGTCATGCCAGTTAGTCATGACATTTAAAATGGAAATCACATGTATCATTTCTCAATTTGGAGGTTGATGAAAACTAGTCATTTGATTGTGAGTTATTCTTAACAATGTTTATGTGCCTTGCAGGTCTCCAGCGAAGTTTGTCATTCCTTCACCTCAGGTATGTTTATTGAAGTTGTAAATAGAAAAGACTTGCAACAAAAATCTAAACAACTCCGATTTATATATTTTTTTAACCCCACACAATGTTTTCATTATGAACAGCTCTTGCATAGATCCCATGAAGACGAGAGCTGCGAAGAGGCTGCCTCTGAGACTACTCAAGATGATTCCCTACATGTGTGGTTTTCTATTTTATTGCTGAATAACAGACAGACAGACACACACGAGATTTGCACAATAGTCATCGTAAGAGTGAACTGGAATTTTTTTCTCTATCTCATAGATCATTGATAGCATAATTGAAGAGAGTCAAAAGGAAAACGGTGCTGGCGCCGAACTGTTCGATCAACTCCACGTTGGTGTGACTGCGGAAACCGAGTCAAAGGAAGAAAGCAAAACTCCGCAAGTACCTCTGGAGGCATCAATTGCAGCTGACGAACCGAAGCCTAGCGAGAGGCCCGAGGAGCAACCGGAATGTTCGGCGAGAAACGAAGTCTGCTCTCTGCCTGTCCCCTCTCCCTTGGATCTCCCAGGACCTTCAGTTGAAACACAGGAAAGTGTTCAGCCCCCAGACATCACCAGCACAATAGGACAGCGTCACCCCGATGCGGAGCTTGCGGTCGCAGAAGGGGACCAGGAGCCCAGGTCCGCTGACATTTTAGAGCAGGTTTCATTTGCAGACAGACCACTGGATTCCATGGACACCTCTGGGCCTACAAAACCACCGCGGCAGTTCACAGTCGAACCAGACATTGTAGCCAGCACCAAGAAGCCTCCGCCGTCGCGACCGCGCCCTCCCAGCGGAGCTCCTCCGCCGAGACCGCCTCCACCGGCGATGCAGCGTCTCCCTTCTAAGAAGTCTCAGCAGTCTCTCAGGCCCAGTGGGCTTGAAGGTAAGAGAGCACATGCAATGTTTGGCATCAAAACAACAGAAACTAACTTTGCGTAATTGGGCGCAGTCAAGCTGTAACAGTGAAGGACCTTTTCAGCGCCGTCCATTTTCAAACCCTTCTTTATCCTTCCATGCGAAAAAAAAAAATTCAAAATGCACAAAGACATCCCTGGCTCATCCTTGGCATTGAACGAGTTAAAAGGTTTACACAAATTGTCGGAATTAAACTCAGAAGGCACTTGAGGTCTTATCCAACCCCTGAATGATTACATTATGTAAGATATGTCTCAATACCTCAGTGCCTGAGAGCTTGATGTTTCATTGCGGCCTTTCAGGAAACACAATGGTCCGAGTCTTGTTTACTTATTACTGACTTCTGCTAAAATGTAAGTCAATGGATAACAAGCCCTGCCGTGCTGCGGGTTAATCATAAATGGAAAGACTTTTTTTTTTTAAACTTACTAGTATTGCCTGTGCAGTGTCTGCAGCGACTCCAGTCGGCAGCAACCCTCTGGAGCCATCTGGTCTGTTGTCTCCCAGTAGCACTGTGAGGAGTTTAACCAGAGAGCTGCAGCACTCCTTGGATCTGGCCAGCGCCACCAGTGGGGACAAGGTGGTGACCGCACAGGTCAGTGACGCACTTTACGATTGGCGAGTGTGCTCTGGAGTGCAACCATTGACAAAGAACGCCTGTTTTGTGGATTGTAGGAGAATGAGGGTGAGGAGGCGTCGTCTCTGGTTGAGGGACAAGTTCCCGGCCCTCAGCGTCCACGCTCCAACTCTGGTAGAGAACTCACTGATGAGGTCGGCCCTGGTTTGTTTTTGCGCTCGTCTCTGTGGCCTTTATTTAGCTTGGCTTGAAGCCACACCCGCGCTGTAGCACATTCCTGACACCGAGGTTCACTGGAGCGTACCGAATGTTAAAACAGGAAATCCTGGCCAGTGTGATGATCAAGAACCTCGACACCGGGGAAGAGATCCCGCTAATCCAGGCGGAGGAGAAACTTCCTGCTGGGATTAACCCCCTCACTTTGCACATCATGAGGAGGACCAAAGAGTATATCACGTAAGTTGATTGTGTTTGTATTTTTTCCTAATACCAGAAAGCTGAAGAGAGGAGAGCAGTCTATTACTGTGCTTTTGATTGTGACGCTCATGGGCGGGGGGGTCTTCCAGTGAAAAACAAGGCACGTGTTCTAAAAGGGAAGTTGTTCAGTAGTCCCCTTTTTTTCCTCTCAGGAATGACGAAGCGCAGTCAGATGATGATGACAAGTCACAGGCTCCGTTGGCAGACACAGATGGGGGAAAACTGAAACAGAGAACGTAAGCACCTGCATCTTATTTGATCCTCCTCCGCCGCAGTTGTAATGCCCCTTCGGTGTTGACCGAATCATCTGAATCGGCCCTTTTTTCCAGAACTCAGTTAAAGAAATTCCTGGGCAAGTCTGTGAAGAAGGCCAAGCATCTTGCTGAGGAATACGGAGAGAAGGCGGTCAACAAAGTGAAAAGTGTTCGCGATGAAGGTAAAAAAAAAAAAAAAAAATCAGTCAATCGGGAAGTGATTAGAACTGCTCACTTTCGGCCTTCTGGTTCGAACAAGTTTGGGGCGTATAGAGAGCTGTTGAGTACATTGTAACAATGTGCTTCAGAACCACCATTTGGCATTTGTTATTCCTCTGGCTCCATCCGCCGAGCCCAGCCGAGGCTTTCTAAATGCCACTGGAAGTGGTTTGCATCATGATGGGCTGCGGTGATATTCACGTTCACAAGGATGCGGTTACATCAACTCTGAGCCGTTTTCCTGGGTGTGTTTAGTTTTCCACACGGATCAAGACGACCCGTCCTCCAGCGACGATGAGGGGATGCCCTATACCAGGCCTGCCAAGTTTAAGGCAGCACACAGCTTTAAGGGTCCTTTTGACTTTGATCAAATTAAGGTCGTACAGGATTTGAGTGGCGAGCACATGGTAGGACAATTTGCCCTTTCCTCCTGTGATATTGTGAAACGAAAGTCGCCTGATTAGCAGCATTTGTTCCTTGTTCTCAGGGGGCCGTGTGGACAATGAAATTCTCACACTGTGGCAGGCTGCTGGCAACTGCCGGCCAAGATAATGTGGTTCGCATCTGGGTCTTAAAGACCGCCTTTGACTATTTCAACAACATGCGATTGAAATACAACACGGAAGGTATCCCCATCGGGCATCCTGACGTTTGTGACGGGATTTGATTGGCGGGGGGTTCCAGTGACGGTTTTTGCGTGCCTCCCTAGGTCGAGTGTCACCTTCGCCATCTCAGGAAAGCCTGTGTTCCTCCAAATCTGACACTGATCCCGGGGTAAGTGGATCGCAAAAACTTGCAGTCAATTTGACACCGGTGGGAATGGCGGCGGCTATATGTGCCTTGTGATTGGCACCTCATCGGGACGAGCAGTGTTGCAAATGTCTTGCTCTTCTTGCGTTTCAGGCAAGTTGTGCTCCAGAGGATCCAGATACAGAAGACAGGAACGCCCCTTTTCGCCAGGTCCCCTTCTGCAAGTACAAAGGCCATACAGCGGATCTATTGGATCTGTCTTGGTCCAAGGTGAGCATCTCCACAGCTTTCCATTCATCCTCCATTTTAAATGCCGTCTTGCCTCACATGATGCATTTGCTGCCTTAATGTAGAACTTCTTCCTGCTTTCGTCATCCATGGACAAAACGGTCAGACTGTGGCACATATCCAGGAGAGAGTGTCTCTGCTGCTTTCAGCACATTGATTTTGTCACGGCAATCACATTCCATCCCAGGGTAAATTGATCAACTCTCTCTGAAAACACTCTCCCAATTTAAATCCCATATCGACTGCAGTAGTTTTGTTTGTTCCCAGGACGACAGGTACTTTTTAAGTGGCTCTCTGGATGGAAAGCTGCGATTGTGGAACATTCCGGACAAAAAGGTGGCACTGTGGAATGAGGTGGATGGCCAAACGCGCCTCATCACCGCTGCCAACTTTTGTCAAAATGGGAAGTACGCCGTCATCGGCACCTATGATGGAAGATGCATTTTCTATGACACAGAGGTACCTTTCCTACAACCTTCTGTTTCGTTTTTTTTTTTTTTCATCCAGTTTTGTATTTATATTGTGGTAATGAGATTTGGAAAAATGACTCTAGATGTCATTAGCATAACAGTGGAAATTCAAACTGGGCCGAGTGTAGCATGGTGAAAAGGAAGAGGCCCAAGCACAGAGCCCTGGGGTTAACCTTAGGAAAGAGGGGTGGGTGAGGGAGGTGCAGTTGTTGATGGAGATGAATTGCTCTCGGTCAATGAGTTAAAACTGAACCAGGACATGGAGTCGGAGGTGATGTGAAAGCAGGTTTCCAGTTGTGAGAGGAGAATCAAATGATTGTGTCAAAGGGCTGCTGTGAGGTGAACCGTGATGAGGATTATAAGACGTGTCGCTTCAACAGAAAGGTCATTTATGTTCCGTCCCTAAGCCACGTCAGGCAACGAGTGCTTTTAAGATACTGTCTAGTTGCCTTGGGTACGTCTTGTCTAATAATGTGCTGTTTTTTTATGCATTCGACAGCGTCTGAAATATCATACCCAAATACACGTACGGTCCACCAGAGGCAGGAACAAAGTTGGGCGAAAAATCACTGGTATTGAACCATTACCTGGAGAGAATAAGGTAGCAGAATCATCTTAGTTTGACTCGGCGACTTCCAAAAAGCTTGTGGAAATGTGAACTTTTGAACATATTGGCTCAATGGTACCTCTTCTCTCATAGATTTTGGTGACCTCAAACGATTCCCGCATCCGCCTTTACGACCTGAGGGACTTGTCTTTATCCATGAAGTACAAGGGTTACGTCAACAGCAGCAGTCAGATAAAGGCCAGTTTCAGGTGATGAGCTAAGTGGTCAGAGCAACATTCATCACCGCTAAGTCATAAAACTAACATGACTAACTTATAAAACATTTCAATAAAGTAGATCATACTCACCGGAGATCCTGATTAGTAAATGAATTAGTCTTTCAGCTCCACTTTTAAGGCCAAGTAAATTTCTAACGCAGCTGTCTTCCCGCAGCCACGACTACTCCTTCATCGTCAGTGGCTCAGAGGATAAATACGTGTACATCTGGAGCACTTACCACGACCTCAGCAAATTCACATCAGTACGTCGGGATCGCAATGACTTCTGGGAAGGGATTAAAGGTAACTGCGCTGTTTATGTATCGCCGACAATTTCATGCTAACCTCCTGCCCTAACGCATGTTATGGGTACTTGTTCCCCCGTAGCACACAACGCTGTCGTCACATCAGCCATTTTCGCACCTCACCCGGGTCTCATCGTGCCACAAGAGACGGGTGCAGAGAAAACAGATGCCGACTGCAAGAGCCTGGACTCCAATGAATCTGAAACGATTCCCTCAGGTATTGTGTGTGTGTGTGTGTGTGTGTGTGTGCTTCAACTATACCATGAGAACAAAATCCAAAGTGTTGTCAACTGTAGCATGAAGGAATATTGTGCTGCAGGTGCCCTGAAGACGGATCACACCGAGGTTCTACTCTCTGCTGACTTCACTGGGGCCATCAAGGTTTTCATTAATGTGAAGAAATATTAAGCTCCATGAGACTTTTACTTGTAACTCGCACAGATACGTAAAATTGTTTTAACTCTGAGCGTGACGGCTGCATCACTGCTTTACCTTTTCATCTTAAATACCAAGCAACTGTTGAGTAGTTTGGCATTTCTAAAAGCTTCGACTTGCCGATGTTACCGTTATGTGGTTTCGGCAGCGATGACGTGTTCATTGACACCGAATACGTGGTTAGCTTCTTGTGCCGTCACATTTCTCGGAGGCGATCTTCTAACTGTTGCAAGACACTCTCTATGAACTGTAAGTCATTCATTTCAATATGTCTTGAAATCATGGTTATTTGTAAATGTGCCTAAACACTGTTTTTTTTTTAAGTGTTTCCTCTTCTCGACATTTCCTCTGCTGCTTATAGCAACATTTTAGACACACGAACTCTGCACATGTTTATTAGTGAGGGTCAGGTATCTTAAAATGTACTTTTCAGAAACACTAATGGCTCCACGTTTGATACATTTCACTAGATTAGGACTGTAGATTTACTTTGTAACATTGCACACTTCTTGCTTTTGTAAGCTGTATTGATGTCCTCAATAAAAAAAAAACGTTTTCTTTTTTAATATTTGGAAGCAGAGTTGATACCTGGCCCCGGCACTTCTGGGAGAAGAACTATTATAGATGCACACAAATTCACTAAGAGTGATTTTAATGTTCGAGCGTCGCACATTTCAAATTATTTTATAAACAAACGTAAAACAAAAATATAATTAGTGTCCAAATATGATACAAAAAGAGCGCGGAATCTTGCGGGGGAGTTTGTTTGGGGACCAAGATGACGGAGCGCTGTGAGTGGTGGACACCTGCTTGTAGTTGAGTTGCAGGCCTGGAGGCGAGAGTCAATGTTTACTCTTTTTTGGCTTCTTGTGGGAACGATGCGGGGACTGTGACCGGGACCTGCGCCCCCTCCATTCTGGAGATGGAGATCGGGACCGTTTGGACTGTCTGGGACACCTGCGGGGGGGAGGAGATGAGATCATTGTGAAAATAATGATCAATGGATATATTCTTTGCACTATATCAATGTCACGTGGCACTTGCTTTGAAGGAGAGATGCTATTTGATTTTCTGTTGCGCCTGTCCGAATCGCGACTCCGTTGTCTCTCTCCGTTTTCACTTTTTTTGCTCTTCTTTTTGTCCTTTCTGTCCTCTGTTGGCTTCTCTTTTGATTTGGATGTGGATCTCTCAGGCCTATCATCCTCTTTGTCAAATTCCTACAGAAGATGAGACAACAGATTGAAAAACAAACATTTTTATTAGCAAGCGGGTTCTTTGGGACCAGTGTGTTCATCGTGATGCCAGATTCAAACCACGTTGCACCCACTGAGCGACAGTTTTTTTGTGCTCTTCTGATTGTACTCGTGTGTACTCTTGTCAGTGTTGCCAATCCAAAATTTGTCATTAAAGAATTATTTATCTTACGGAGCGGTTTGCTTTTGTGTTCCAAATACCTTCTGCAGCAGTTTGTTCCTGTAATTCTCCACCTGCTGCTGGATGCTCATGCCGGACTTCTTCTGCCTTTTGCCGCTTTCCAGCTCATCTTGGAACTTCATAACCTTCAACTAATTTACAAGGGTTATGTTAAAAGGCGCCAATTGGTATGGGAGTGGAAGTCAATTGTGACTTTTAAGAGAGGAATCATTGAAATCATTTGTTTATGAAACCAAAAATAAAATAAAAATAGTTCAACATTCTAATAGGCTCATTTAAAATTGTTAGTTGATGTGACGGGGAATTTTGAGATCTGTCTGCGCACATCGTTTTTATTCAAGACGTAATTCCGATCACATTTGGTGGAGGCAATAGCAATCAGTCACTTTTTCATTTCGATTACATCTACACAGATTGCTTGACTAATGGCAATTTCAGAAAGATTCACTTACTTCTAGCTCTCTCAGCTTTTTTCTTTGGCTCTCAGACAATTGAAAAGTTCTGAGTGAGCTCTGGAAATGTGCGCTGTCATGTTTGGGGGAACTGCTCGAGTCATCACTGCTGTCACTCTCCGAGTTGCCTCCATCCAGTGAGTTGACACTGTTCGCGACAGAACAAAGCACCGCGCTGACTCATGGATGCTTTTGAAACGCGTCGACAGGCTGTAGATAAAGCAAAAACAATGACGGAGGCCCCTTACCTTACATTCACTTCTTTGACATTGTCCTTGCCTGACGCAGTGCTCCACTTGGACTCGGGAAAGGCTTGAAGAAAACAAAAGAACATTACAACCCGTCGGTGCTCCGCAGAGGACATTTGTGAGCTGTGTTACCTTGCGAGAAAGTCTCGTCGTCGGCCGTCTTCTCCCACTTGGACAAGGGCCCTCTGGGGAGAGCCACCTTGCTGTCATCCACTGAGGACAAAGGGGAACAAGGTCAGGACACGGTCACCCCATGCAAACTTAACAGCCGTGCTCTACTCACGCGGCATTCCGTCAATGTCGTCGATGGCACTTCCCAAGGGAACGCCGTCTATGTCGTCAACGGGAACGCCATCCAGAGGGTCCCAGCCCATTGGGCAGCCGTCCAGGTCATCCGCTGGGCCTTTGCGTAGAGGCAGCCCGTCGATAAGAGCACGGTCCATCGGTACGCCGTCGAGTTTTTGAGAAGCTTCCTGAAAGAAGAGCGCCAGAGTGTCATTTGGATGCCGCATGGGTGACTGATCAAAGGAAGAGAACCTTTTTCCACTCACTTCTGCCACCTCCGTCAACTCTTCTCCAGCTTTGACAAAGCCCAGGAAGATGTTTTGAAGGCGGATAAGATAAGGCTGCGGGTATATGGCCCAGTCCTCCCAAGCTCGAAAACAACTTGTGACCTTTTGCTACAAGAGGCAGAGTAATTATGTTTTGAGCTTTTTTTTCTTCTTCTTCTTTTTGAGGGTCCCATCCCTTCTTTTTCATCTTAATGTACGACAGACATGGTTACCTTGAACTGTTCAGCTTGCAGCCTGGCTTGTATGTTTTTGTACGCTTCATGAAGCACTCCAAATATCTGTGACAGCTTTGATTCGAAACTAAAAATAAATTATCAAAATCGTAGCTATAAATAACAGGAAAAACATCGAGAGGACCATGCACAAAAGGATGAATAAAAAAGGCATCTCCTTACTGCTTCCGGTAATATGAAGCCCCGGCGACTTTGGCACTGGAGTTGTACAAAATGTCTGATACGAGATACAAGCTGGCAATCTACAAGAACAAAAGTAGCGAGGTTAACAGTTGCATAGACTTGTGCTACTATGTTGCGGTTCATCAGTGGCAGCAGGTCAGATTTTTAAGCGATCAATTCTTCATGGGTTTTTACAGGGCAATATATCACTGTACAAAATAAAACAGAAATTTAAAAATAGGTTCTCTGAACGGGGGCTCACTGTACCATGTTTAGTACAGTCTTAATAAATGTGTCCAAAAAAAAAAAAAAAAACTCGCCTTCTTTTGAAGGGAAGTCTGAGGCGAGGAGAACGATTCTGTGACGTGGCCAACGACTTCCTCCGCTGCGTCGGCTCGTTCAAGACAGAAGAGCATGGCGTCGGCGATGACCGCTTTGCTGGCAGTGAGCTCCTGAAGCAGCACCTCCAGCTTCTGTCTGTGCCTGCGTATTTTGTTTTGTTTTTGAGAAAAAAATAAACCGCACTTAAGGCTGACGGATTAATCCATTTGATCGATTTTAGCTGTTTACAGAAGCACCGTCAGGGATGCAAAATTAAAAAACAATTTTTAAAAACAGACAAGATGAGCTGATTCATTTTCACATTGTTTGGCATATTACTCGAAAGGAGCCAATCATGGAGTGACTCAATTGTGCTTCACATTTCCAATTTTATTTGCTTTAATAAGTATAAGCGAAGAGGGAAACAAATGGATTAAAATCAGAAATTGGCTTTTCGGGCCATATGAGACAGCCCTAACATCCCTCTCAAAGTTTGTATGTCTCACGTGCACTACGCCCGTTTGGCGTACTCACTCGGCTCTGAGATGTCCCTTCTTCACCTCCTCCTCGGCAGAAGCGACCTCGTCCCCTTCCTCTGTCTCCTCATCTCTGTCCATGTAGCTGTTGAAACCGGGAGGCCTCCACAGAGAGCCTCCGCGGAACATACGGAAATCCGCCGTCCTCCATTTGGTCAACGACTCTCCCTGAGGAAGTGAAGGTGCAATACACTCAACACATTTCGGGCTTTGTGTTCACAGGGAATGTATTTACATGATCGGCATTGCCTTAAAAAAATTAGCCTTAACTTTCAAAACCCACACAGGAAAGCCAGGAGCCGAGATTCAAACTCAAAGCATCAAAAACAACCAAATTATGACAAACAAGCCTCAGTGTGATTCAGTGCTGTTCTCTAGCAAAGCAAAACTATGGCCGCAACACTCAACGCATTTTTAGGAACTGAGTGATATCACATTTACATAAATACCTGCAGGATGGAGAATAGTTTCCAGCGATAGTAAACGTGATTTTGACTCTTGTTGTCAAAAAGGAACCTGGGCCAAAAGAAAATAACGTTAGTTGCCACGCGGCCTTAAATGTGAAGACAAACATGTATCGTGATTTGTACCTGTACTCGGGGTTGCTTTTTTCTTTGTTCATTATCATGGCTTCAAACAAAGGACCTTCACGCACCACAAACTCTATCATCCGATGGATGAGGAATAATAAATTTCTGTGGGGGAGGGGGGAAGGAGACAGAAAGTGATTTATTTATGTCAACCCCTCAATGTTCTTTCTGTCTCAGTTCCGGCGGGGAGGGAAGATCTCTTAATACCTCTTTACACTGAGCTAGTGACCCGTGCAAACTGCAGGCTGGCTCTTTGCGCATGTCTTAACGGCGTCAGTCCTTGTCAAAGCATTTACTGTTTGAAAATGCCTAGCGCATATATTTTGCCAGTCTAAACGAGCCGGCCGTTTTCACTCAATTGCACAGTCACTGCCCTCTACAGCATGCAGGACGAGACTCGGATCACTTTATTTCTGGCTCAGTCAAAGGGGGAAAAAGAATTCCTCAGCAACAGAACATTAAGACACTCATTCGGCTTTGCCTATTTGACCTTCAATTGCGACCATCAATACAGAACTGAGATCTAAATCCATATGATGATTTGTTAGAAAAGTCCACAAGGTGGATGTGAGGTAACAAGGATAAGACTCACTCTCGAAAACAACAGCATGTTTATTTTTACGAGATTATGTGTCCGGACTCCGGGGTGTGAATGACCTACATAAAGTCGTGATTTTATCCCAAAATATTCTAATCTGGGTCACACCTCGGACAGCAGTTGACCATTGACTGAAAAATGATTACGTGTGGCATTTCTTACAATGCACATTACATTCTTGACATCCAGCCTACACTATATGGATAGAAATATTGAGAAGCACATCTCAAATCATGAGTTGGACTAGACCCCTTTCTTGCCAATATGTTTTAGGCATTTTTTTTGGCGGCGTTCAATCAAAGCAATTAATTGATACAATTTAATTGCACGTGTTTGCTATGTTCTTTTACCTTCCCGTCATGGCGGGAACGTACTGGTAATGTCTCCACCTTTTATTCTTTGCAAAATGACACTGCCTTGCGAGGATGAACGATGTTAGAAACCTAAAAGGTGGGAAAATACGAAAACTCTCGTTTCTCATTTACCGGCTGTCCATTAAGGGTTCATTATGTTTATGTGTACAAAATAAATTGTAAAATCTATGTTTCCAGACACTACTTTATGACATGTCTGTTCTGCAGGTGATGTGTGTTGTCAACCACAAACCATGGCAGTATCAGGCATAGTAAATAAGCAGCATTTTTTTGTAACTGGGTAAAAAAAAAAAAAAAAAAAAAGGCAATAAAAGGTCTTTTGAACTTTTTTTTTTTTTTTTTTTGCTTAGTTATGACTACCGCTTTATTTTGGGTCAAAGTTTTATTTTAATGAATACGTTAGAGCACCTGCCTCTGTCCTATCACTTGTGTGCTAACAGCTGGTCAGTCGTAGGAGGAAGAGTGTGTGTACCTTTCGGTCGGGATAACCACTTTGACTACGGCTTCGGACAGAGTCTGTTTGTGAAGTCAAACCAAATAGTGAAAATATGACAAATGTGAATATTTGTACAGATGAAAGAAACACTGCAGGATACATACAGCAGAGAAACGATAGCATACACACTACAGCAACAGGAATGGGTGGCCCCCTATCTAAAAATGAGCGATTATTTATCCAGATTATTAAATAAACTTCCCTTACGCTTTATCCTTCGACAAACTAACACAGACTCAGCCTACCAGTGACGTAAACTGAATGGCCGTCACATTAGGTACACCTGCACAATCTATTGTTGTGTTTTCAAACCCTTATTGAGCAAACAAAAAATATATAATAGTTATGAATGGAAACAGCGAGACACTCTTGATTAACTATGAACCTTCTGCCATCTAGTGGAACATAATTTAATGACTCTGCCCATTACTATAAATCACTGCTACAGGCAGATGAGCAAAGATACGTTTGCTGTTAAGAACAAATCGTTTTTGGACAAATAAAGTGTATTATTCCGCACAGCACGAGTCACTCAGAAGTACGCACGCACACACAAAAAGTGAAAACCGAAAGCTGTATAAAAATGTCTGCCTTCACAAAGATAAATGATGCACAGTTTGAAGTAACGCGTAGACGTGCAGGTGTACCCAATGAAGTGTCTCTTTGGTACACTGCTCTGAAATCATGCGCATGCATCAAGCAAAATCAAGCCAGACGTTACCTTGTCGAGATCTACTTTGGACAAGGCCAGGGGTTTGGTGAAGTCGTTTCGAAAACGATCCCTTGGCTGTGCGTTGAAAGGAAGGCCTGACTGGGGTGGCGGCGCAGCCCTCACCCCAACTGGAGTGTAGAGCGGCTGCGGAGGAATTCGAGCCGGTTTGCCCCATCCCAACTTCATTTCAAATCCCATAATCACTTTCCCTAAAACACAAAACCAAAAAAAAACAGTATGAGAGACAGCCATAAGAATAATGGCAGAAAGGAGCATGTTTTTCAGAGTACCATCAAGCGCTGCCAAAGCTCGCTCTGCATCTTTCCGCGTCATGAAAGCCACAAAGGCTCTGTTGGAAGTCCTGCAGCGCTCCTCATCCGTGCGGGGCCACATGATCTTGACGCTGGCCAGAGGACCGTACTTACCAAACTCTTTGCAAAGGATCTCCTCATTCATCTAAGGAGCAAAAAAGTGCTTCGTGTGAGCTGGGATGCTAAAATGAGCTCGCGCCGTGGTCGAGTGTGAGGCTTACCTTGGGACTGATACAGCTGATGTATAGATTAGTGGTGGTTGGTATTGTTGGGTCATCATAAAATACTGTGGAACACAACGAGGTTTAGTAGTTGGGTTAGTCATATCTCAAGGCGCCACTGTATTTTGACTTGTTTGTGCCGTAGTACATGACAGGTTTCTTACTTGGTCGTCCTAACAATGGTGATTCCAGAATTGCGTATCCTCCTCCACCAGCTGGTTCGTTTTGCTTTCTTTTGTATCTCTCCTCCCGTTCTTCCTGAATTCTACATTTTTTGAAAACAAATGTACCAAAATATTTGTTAAAAACTGCCTAAACTTTAAACTAAACACCACACGACGAACTTTGGTGACTCACAGCTTAAGTTCCTCTTTGAAGAGCTCTAAGTTACTCTTCTTCTTTTCCTCTACCTTTCTTTTAAAAGCCTGCGAATTACAGAATCCAGTGTGACTTAGATGAAGATCGGAAGACATTTTATGACCAATATGCAGAAATCCAGGTCATTCCAAAGGGTTCGCATACGTTTTCAAGCAAGTGTAAATGAGGAGATTCGTACAGGTCCAGACTTACAGACTTTTTGCACTCTGCAGATGATGCTGGTGTGGCATCTTCAGATAGGGGAACACATTTTGAAGCAGGTCGATAAAGCCTACTTTTGGTGGCCTCTCCTGCTTCCTCATCTGCAAGAAGAAAAGTAGTCCCCAAAAACGAACAATTAAGGCAGTTGATCTTTAGTCCTTCTGCTCTATTTGTAAGTGACATTTAATTGACAGAGTTGTATTTGTGGTTAAGATGCGCTTTGGATCGTATTTAGTACTCGCAAAGATTTGAGATGGAATGTAGCAAGTCTTAAAAACTGACCCTTTGTTGGATTTACAATTCCTCCGCGGACAAAGGTTTTCACTCCACTCTTTTGACTGGGCTCAAATGATGCTAAAAATTCTTCAAAAACAACAGCTGCCTTTTCTTGCTCCTGCAACATCAACACAATCATGTCAATATAGTTAGTTAAACAACATTTTTAAAACATTTTCAGTTGAAGTTTACAAAGACCTGACCTTTTTCTTTCGCACTTCTTTTTCCTTCCTTGTTAGTGTTTTGACTGGGGGGACAGTGTTTCCCTTTTTGTCAGCCATTCTTGCACTGCAAAAAGAGAGACATTAACTTCATACCAATTAACATGGAAATGACAACCACATTAACCTAACAACTCATCTCTTTTGCACAGGTCCAAAAGTAAGTAGTGGTGCGTAAGTATTGAAGATAATATGATATAATCCCACAGCACCCATCTTCTAAAATGAACTGTTGCACTGATTTGGTATTCAAATTAGCGGGACGTGAAATCCTGTTAGTGTTGGCCTGTATCTTTGCCGGTGTCCTTCCATGCATTCGAGGATGAATTATCCCATGTAATCGTTGCACCTCTACTTGTAACCTTTCAAGCACATTAGTGAGAGCAGGAAACCGCAAGGGTCAGGCGGTCATGAAACCCCGGCAAGGCCGGAAGAAATGGTGCCAATCTCATCCTCTGCATTCAATACCTTAATCGAGACTCTAAGGCTCAAGTCTTTTTGAAGGTAATCTAAATCCAACAGGAGACATCTTTGCATCCTCGATGGTAACCTTCATGCGCACTTTGCTGTATCCTCCCATGCACCGATGCATATACAATTAAAGTATTTTCCAATCCATCCATGCACATTAGCCCAAACCCAGGCCTTTGTCGTTTCATGTACCCTTGCCTATAATCAGTCATCCCCTTTATGAACGACCATTTTCATGGAAATGACACTAAGCAACAGCTGGTGGTCCACCGCTAATTTTATATACAGTGTAGTTATTGTAACGTGACACAGAGGTGTAGTAAATAACAAGCGGTGTGGGAGGAAAAACAAAACATCACAACTGTAGTTTCGACAGAGAGTTGCATTCTTTGTGTCCTGGCAGGGACAGAAACACATGTCGTTGCTGGTTTGAAATAAGAGAATAAAGACTGCCCGAGGTAAACGGGCAACAAACTGCACTTTTAGAACCGTCACCGTGATTTTAAAGGGCCTGTTTCACCTTACCTCCGACTGACGCTTCACTTTGCTAGCATTGCTATGCTAACATCAACATTTAGCTTCGCCGACGATTGTCCACGGGGATGCAAGCTAACCCTTCAAGAAATGGACGTTTCGATTACATATTCCCTATCAAATCCTCCCTTGCAATAAAAACAAGTGTAAAGTCACCAAGTCACCAGCAACTAGCTAACGCATCAGACCGCTACCCACTAGCTACGCCAGCGAGCAACGACACACGTTAACACGTTAAAAGACCAACGCATGCACACGGGTGCTTCCCAGCTCCACTTAAACAGTGCAACTTACAGTGTTTAGTATTACTGCTTCACCATTCTGGCAGCGATGAATAGTTGATAGTAACAAGAACAGGCTACCACATAGCGGAATACACAGACGACTGCAGTTCAGTCACTAACCATTGAGGGTCATGCATATTCATGAGGGGGGGGGGGTATTTCACTCTTTGTTTGGCTCACTTTGGTCCCGCTTAGTCTCAAATGGACGTCTTGCATTTAGCCAAGAAACATTTTACACTATAACAATGTAACGTAAACTCACCACACAAAGCTGTTTTTTTTTCTAGTAGCTACGTAAATAACGATGAGGCCTTACAGAGGTTAATTGTACCTTCTGCCATCTAGTGGAAAATAATTTAATTGTTCTGCCTATCACGACATGCTGCCAGTTCAAAGTAGCAGGCAGGAAACTTACACAATTTGATTCGCCAAGCACAAGCATCAATCATACATTTTTTGTGAGCTATTTTATTTTGCATGTCATGTATTTCGCTGTTTGATGCAACCATGTGAACTAAAACACATTTCAAAAATAGTTCTGAGTAAATCATTCCCAGTTAAGTAAAGAAAGTTACCTTTTGTTTAAGGAACACCTCTGCGGCTTATTAATAAATAGGAGGGGAGGTCTTAATGCCTAAAATGGCCACCATACCATATCGACCACCGCCAGCATCATCAGTACCTCCACCTCAGTGGCGGCCCACCCACCCCCTTGCACCTCCCCTCAGTGACGCGTGCCTCTGCACGCGCATGGGCGTAGAATCTGCGGCTGTGCGCTGCTGCTGCTATCATTGAGACTCAATTCCTCTTTCTTTTTTTTTTCCTCTTTTTTTTTTAAACGAAAATGGCGTCCAGTCAAGGAAGTGTGGGAGCTGTCGCGGCGCTCCAGAACCACCACCACTACCCGAGCGTACCTCACTGGAGCCCGGGGAGCAGCCAGTACCAGCAGCAGTACCACCAGCAACAACAGCAGCAGCAGCAGCAGCAACAGCAACAGCAGCACCTCACGGCCCGGAGCCTGGAGCGAGCTCTGGAGGATGCCGTGTGCTCCGGGATTCTCAACCTAAGCGGGCGGAAGCTGAGGGAGTACCCGGGAGTGAGCTACGACCTCACCGATACAACACAAGCAGGTGGAGTATCACCAATGCATTCCGGTATAAAAATGTGTTCGCTTGCATACCCGGATGTTACATTGTGAGGACAACGAGTCTGACTGCGTTGTTGTCTCCATGTGTCTGCGCTTACGCAAAGCGACCGCTGTAATGATTTGCATCATTTATTTCTAGCACAAGGGGCTCGGTTGCCGCTCGGTTGTTTTGGGCGAAACCAGCAGCCACTCGTTTCACAGCCCCCCC